AAAATTAATTTAATACTGTACAGTATTATGTACAATAAGTACAATGCAAATGATGCTCTGTTAAAGTGAGTCAATCACTCATCTGCCGTCTACCCGGACATTTTACATAAAAAAACATGACGTATGCAGGGAAGGGTACGCGTGAGCCCATGCAGTACGAGCTGCTTCGGACATTGCCTACACATACCAGTACTTCATGTTTGCATAATATATACCACCTGGGTGCGAAATCACACAGTCATATAGTATAAACGTTGACCCTAGTGTCACAAAAAATTACATTGGTTTAATTATTTCGAACATACCTCTTATGAGCGGAAGGAGATTGTCGCATTGCTCCTTGGATTTCATGATCAACCAAAGCATTCAGAGGAGAATTTGGTTGAATACGGATTCCATAGTAATGGTATTTTGAGTTACCTCTGTTGAAATAATAGTTTCAACTAAGTAAGAATGATCACTACATCGAACTGGGATGTTGTTATTTTCAGACAAAGCAAACAAATAACATTCCTTGTGTACTTTATATTATATTTACTTAATATTATATCTACTGAGTACTGATTTACTTTATTGTATTACACTGAACATTTCAACAAACTAACTAACTTGTGTATTGTTGACAAGCTGGAGAAGCACAAAGAAATAGTTACGGAACAGAAATGTCATGCGCGTGACTAGCTTCCTCCGCTCGTGGATCATTTACTTTACAATTTTTTTGCCTGCAAGCAAATTTTGCCCGCCAATCTGAAGGTGATGCCTGCGGAGGAGGCAAGGCACTGCAGTACTATGTCTGATTTAGGAGGTGTGATTGTAGCAAGATAAATTTCGTTGTAACCAACTGGGCGAAACACTAAATTCCAAAAGCCAATTCGAGTCAGGAAAACTCACCGAAATTCACTAAAAAGGTCTAAAAAGACCGACTCACGCAGGATGTCAATGAAGGATATTTTGGCTCATACTCTTATCACTGTGTTTTAATTTACTCCTTGAATATTGTCAATGGCGGTATTCATTGGAAGTTATCAGAATTTTTACAAGTTGGAATGTAATGACTTCATCAAGTGGTTGTGTATGTACATAGAATAAAGTCTAAATTAAACGAGTTTTTAGCAATGACAATGACGCCCACATAGAATTACTGTAAATACCTGGTTCCCAGTCGTCTGGTTTTAAGACCAACAAATACGGAACGGATCAACTTTCCAAAACTTGCAGCATTTACTGCATCCAGTTTATTTGCTTGACAATGTTGTAAATAATGATTATATAAGGTACTTCGCGGCAGACTCACTCCTTCAGATGTTTCATAATTCTCAAGCAACCAGGCAACCTGAAATATTGAACAAAGACATAACGTATACATTTTAACTTCCTAATTTTGTTGCTACTTCAGGCGTAAATGATCGGCAATACAATATAATCTCGAACGATCTGTGCCAATGTAGGTAGAGATGATAAGTGCGGATTGCGAGGGATGTCGCTCGAAACATTGAAGTTGTGCTTGTATATTTCAGGTAGTTATATCCCTCGGCAATTATCTTAATACAATATACATATGAATTGTTGATAAACATACTTATACGAGCTTAATGACTGTTCTTGTAGTTTAACTATAAAAGGGGAGATGTCTGTGTCGTCCTGCTAAAGGCTCGTTTCCACTAATAGCAAAATCAACTCCCAAGGTCGCTGCGAGTGCTGGCATCTAATTAGAATAAACTGTGGAGCAATGTGATTGGATGAAAGAACTCGCAGCGACTCTTGCGATGAGTGGAAAAGTGGCTTGGTTCTCCTGAGCCTAGTACGCTCCGAGAAGTGTTTTTTTATTCTTCAGACTGACTTGGACCCAGGATTGCGCATACGGAAACTCAGAAATTATTAACACAATTCCACGAAACAGCAGTTTGATATTACCATGGTACTGTACAGTAATAATTTCTCAGTTTAAATAACCTCGTGCTTCCAGCCTAACATCCTTGCATGTTTGGATCATATATCTAAGTATAAGGAAATGTAAACTTTCAGGTTAACATACCGTTGCTGGAGACGCTCTTGTTGTATGTGTAATAGGGGGTCTTGGAGTGAGTTGTCCAGCAAGACCACTTGTATGTTGGTAAGTTATAACTTGACCTTGAGCTCCAGGTACCATAGTTGGAGAATTAGTAGCTGGAGTTGTATATGCAGCTTGATGTTGACCTCCATCCAGATACGCTGTTGGAGTACCTTGTTGGCCAAACATTGCAGTATCACCATACGAAAATGAACTGAACAATAAGAGACCATCATTAGTTGTTGACAAATTGAAACAAACCAAATGAATTTATTTGCTCAAATTGCGAAATCCAAAGAGGAGTTGAAGTATCAGAACATTACACCACTTTCAATAAGATAAAAGCCATTTCAAATATTTTGAAGATGCGCCTTAGGAAGCCTTTCTAGTGTCGTCTGTAGGACAGCAATTGAAAAGAATCCTAGCAGCCATTGTGGGAGAAGCATATAGGACAGAACTGGTGTAAAATATGTGACTAAATTACTGAATTAATCTTGTTTCTAAAACTTTCACCTTTGTTTTTCATAACTTATTATTCATTTTTATTTCTCAAAGATATATACAAAAGGTTAATTTAATTAAATTTGCAACGTTTCGGACATTTTAAATGTCCGTCTTCAGGCATAGATTAAGTAAGGATTAAGTAAGTATTCCCAGTTCTGAATAAAGTGAGACAAATGAAAACAAAGGCACAGAAACCACTGGGAGAGAAACGGAAGACTGTTGTATACGAAGTTCCTTGCAAATGTGATGAGGCGGTTTATGTGGGAGAGACTTGGCGCTTATTTGGAACTAGAAAGAAAGAGCATATGAGTAAAGTTCGGTTGACGGGAGAGGACATAAAGAATGGAAAACTAGAGTCGGCAGAAGAAAGAATGGGTAAGGAAGATGGAGGTTTGGCGAGACATAGCGTTGATTGCGAGAGTGGGATTGATTGGGAAAAGGCACGAGTGATAACAACTGAAAATGGATTAAAACAGAGGAAAGAGAAGGAATTGAGTCTTTAAGAGAACAATATAATGGCTACACGGTTTTGAACAATTTCAAACAATTGGTGATGTGGAGACCATTGTTAAATAAGTATTTTAAGAAGGAACATGTAAACAAGAACACGCGCACGCAAGTGCATAGTGACGCGCACGCGAAATGACGTGACTGACAGTTAAACCACAGAATAGGAAGTTATACCAGAAGCGTAACTCTAGTCGTTTCCCTTATTGTTTGCGGTCCACGAAAATTTTAACTCGCTCACGTCAGGCCACGCCATCCTGGCTAGTACAGCCGGAAGTTTTTATCAGGATTTGGTAGGTACAAAGTGCCGGTTGTACTAGCCAGGATGGCGTATTGATGACGAATCGCTTGTAAAAACGCGGACAAATATTTGCTCGAGTTACGCTTCTGGTATAACTTCCTATTCTGTGGTTAAACCGTCAGCATTTTTGAATATAACGTTAACAACAATTGTCGCCTGAAGACGGACATTTAAAATGTCCGAAACGTTGCAAATTTAATTAAATTAACCTTTTGTATATATCCGTGAGAAATAAAAATGAATAATAAATCTTGATTTAGGTTCAAAATACTGGCAAAACGTATATGAGTAAAACAACGGCAAGATTCGTACGCACTGAAATTCAAAATGCAGAACTGTCACATAAGTGTTAGGCTTTTTTATCAATAAACTCACTGTCCTTCATGCATTTTATTGAAATTTCACTCTACTGAAATTTAAGGGTGTCAACCGCAATAAATAACGATAAAAATTTCCACTATAAACAAATTTAAAACAGCAAGTATATCATGAATAATTAAAATATATAATGCATTACGGAACAACGCATCAAAGCGTCCTATATAAAATACATGGCTGCCAGTGTTAATTCCATCCTTTAAAATTAACCTGAAAATCTTAAACGTACATACGTCGTGCGTATGTTCTGTATGTGTATGTTCTCCTGTCATTGGTAAACCTTTTACCAGGGCGAGGTGCAAAATGATTAAATAGACTCGACATAATTCGTATAAATTGCCAAAAAGGATCTCACGGATAATTAGGATTAGAGAGGCCCAGATACGGCGGATTGGTTAATCGGGAGATTAAACGCATGTGATTGGTTAAGTCATATCTCAACCTCTCTACTATGTTCACACGAGAACGGAAGAATGGACCTATTCCCTAATGAACAAAATTTTGATCTGGACAAGTCTGAAAAAAGGTATCAATTTCCCGCGCGTAATACAAAATGACTGAAAAACGGCAAACTTCGCAGGGCTATATTATCCGCATTTTACAACATTTCGCAACGAAACTTCGGAATATTACTAATTTTGTGATGCTCTTTGAAGCTGTGGTGAAATTTCTGTCTAGATCAAAATTTTGTTCATTAGGAAATAGGTCCATTCGATGTCATTCTTCAATTCCTCTGGTTTCATTTGCCCCGTGTGAACTCCAAGGGCGAAATCGTGAAAATGAGAGCGCAATTCATTCAATCTCACGTGAGCAGATCATCAGCTGTCGTGGCCCTGAGAACTTTATTTCTTACTATCAACCATTCTGTTCTGAGTAGTTTAGAGTGCAAGATTATTGTTTATATTTGTATGAAGAAGCTGCACTGCATGATAGATCGTTAATTCGAGCTTTCTGCCTGGCTGACGTGACGACCTTTGTAAATTAATCTTTGTCTAATTAATGCTTCTTTTCCTAGCATGCACACACTGAGTTGTGCCGCCTCTTTAGTATAGGATTGTCACAGGTAACGGTATTCTGCATGACTCAATGTTTGAAATTTTAGATATGTACAGACACACATTTAACTTGCCCTATAATTACTGTAAAACAAGAAAAACACATGTCACTTTACATTATACATCGGAAGCAAAAATACTTAGCCTTATATAAATTACACGACGCTTTATCATTTAAATAGTCTAACAATAAGCTACGTGTGCTTACTAAACATTTTGTAATGAAATAAGAAACGAATTAACACACCTCACAGCCCAGCTATAAAATATAATTTCGCACTTTTGTGAAAATAACATATCGAATAAATATCGATAATTGAACTAACACCTGCAAAAGTCAGTTTTCTAAGTTGTAATATTAGTACTTGAAATATAAGCAACTATTTTCTACATACTTATAGTATTTCATTTGTAACATTTCATATTGCATTTATAAACAGATCAATAAAAACTCACGTTAATGTACGGATTGGCATCGTGAAGAAAGCGACTCTAGGGCTGCATTCATTGAACAGGAAATGTAAATAGCGCCTTTTCACGCAAGCATGCATACATGATGACTATTGTCATGGTAAAAAGAAAATAAATGATCTTTTCAAAAAATGCCGTTGCCTAAGCAACAAATTATTCCTTGTAGAAGACTTATTGTCATGGGACTGCATCAACAATGAAATTTATTCAACTGACTTGTGTGTGCATAAAAAGGCAGCCAAACGACGGCCATTTTTGTCAGTTTTTAACACTTTATGAATCGTTAGTTCACTTATCCTTTGCTTAAAACTATTTTCAAAGAACCTTAGAAGTGAGTTCGCTACAAATCCAGGGTGCTAGGGGCATGATGGCGCCCAGCTAGTCGGGATGAATCATGTCACGAAAATTTTTTCTTCATCAAAACAGGTAGTTTGAATAAACTTTATACTGTTACTGGAATCACACAAATTCAAACCCGCGACATTCAGACCTGAGTTAAAAGAAACATTTCTTTAATCCTGGTCTGAATGTCGCGTCTCTTAAGTGGTAATCTCGTGACCTAGCGCAAAGCGTTGATTGGCTGAGCTAAACAATCAGTCAACTGATATTGTTTTGCGTACTAAAAACAGACAAATATATTTTAGGGCTAGATGGATCACAACTCGGATCTGGTTTCCAATTGGCGGCTTCTTGAACAAAGTTCTGAAGTTGAAGAATCTTATATTTCTTAATAGTTATTTTTTGGTTCGCCTAAATTGGGAAATTGCTAGCTAAACGTAATTGCATGGGAAAACGGCATACAACGTTGAATTTTTTACTGTAGGTGACACAATGAAATCAATTTTTTTCGCAAGTATTTTATCGTAGAACTCTGTGTTTTTTTTTGGTTTGTTAACCTATTTCATACTTGAATATTTGATGCTAAAAGGAAATAACGTCAATATAGCTTACACTTAAGTTGAATAAAAGAACCTTTTCGAACGCTACGCGAACACATGTTGATTCATCACGAAACGCCCCGTGACGGGAAAAATTCAACATAAAAACTTCTTTTAACTTTTCTACAGAAACTTTACAAAATGCATTCAAAGCATAATGGAGTTTTTACCGAAAAATAGATTAAACGAGTTTTCTGTTTTAAAAATTGTTCATGCGTCTTCATTATCGCAATAATTCATCTATATATTTGCAGGTGTTTCTGATCACGTTCACGTGATACGAATAATCTTCTTTGTCTCTTAGCCTGAATACCCTGGGTCAAAATGAGCGACGAAATACACAACTTTAGTTGTTTACATTCACATGTGCATGAACTGTGATATTATTCGGAATCTTCTAGCATTACTTACCCCGGTGCGTTTGCATACATAGTTGGTTGATCACCTTCTACAAAATGTACATCTGAATTGGCAAATCCTAAGTAAAAGAAAGAAACAGTATCTTTCGTCACAGAACGAAACATTTTCTAAAGTGCAGTGTTATCGTTTGTCATTGTCCACTTTGCACGTAGAACGCATGAGTGCAGACAGCTAGGCATGTCTTGGAATTTGAAAGAGAAAGACTACGCAACGTGCTTGCTTTTACAGTTTGCTTTCGCAAGAGTAACAAATTAGAATACCTTCGTTCTTTATCGAACTATTTGAAGTAAAGTTATCAGGGGTGATAGTATGAAGTAATGATTGTTGAATAGATTGTTGTTGAATTGTCTTTTGTTGAACTCCAGACTTTGCATGCCCTGCAACTTGTAAGCCACGAGTAAAATCTGCTGTAGGAGCACCACTACGTACAGCCATCTCAGTGTCGGCAAAATTACCTTGGCTTATAAAACTTTGGGTAGCCATTCTATGCAGATCTAGAGAAAAGTTCAATTCATACACTGAATTCAACTGCTAGGGACCTTAATCATTCCGACATAAACTAGGAAAATAGCAAACGTCCTTGGATCACTCATATTATACTCGTGAATTGCTACACGTAGGCACTCGATACATGTACTTGGTTTCTGATTACATTATACCGGTTTCATGGCCACTATTTTCTACATGAATATATAGGCTATGAAGCATGTCGACATATGCATTGGTTTGACTGGTCAAAAGGAGAATATCTCAGTGTATACAGAAAAGCTTTGCTTGAAGATGACCAGTCTTAATATGGCGCATCTCAGGCTTAGTGTTTACTTCGAGAGCCGATGTTCATGTTTCGTTCAGTTCCTCAATAAGCGGCAATACTTTGCTTTACAGATTAAAATTGTGTCGTATATAATGTTAGCTCATTATACTTCACTACAATTATGCCAAGAGATCCAGTCCTGCCTAAAATGGTTAACTAAAAGCGATCTGGTGATCAATATGTCTTTCGCTTGCCGCGATAGTCTGCCATATTTATAAACACGGCTATATGTTTGAGTAAAGAAACGATTTGATTGCAAATGAATGTTTAAACGAAGATAAGATATATTGTGTATATATTCATAGTTGCCTACCCTTATGTATTCTACAGCACGCTAAATTTCTTGTATCCTTGGCTACAGTGGTCGCCTTGGAGCTTATTCTTCGCGACGGTAACTTTCCTCACCAAGCAACGATTCAACTTGACTTACAACGAAACAACGCCGAAACTTGACGCGGCTACCTGTATGCGGGGGGCACCAGTTTGACTGCAGGGCATGCAGAAAACGACGCTTCATCAATATTTGATCACCTACCTAATTTATTCGCTGTGGCTTAACGCGGCTTTACGCTGATAGATTAACAACTTTATACAAAATTAATCTTACAAAAAGTCGTAAAGCTACCATATATATTTGTACGAATATTTTCAAACTTGTTCACAACTGGGTCTGGGATCATACCACACGAACCTCGACACGAACAGACAATAATGAAATATAATTTCCACTAAGTTCCTTCTGCCACAAGACCTGTTATCAACGTTGAAATTATGCATAGGGTAATTACGCCATAGGTAGCAAATGTTTTGCATAGAGCAAGAAAAAATAAACAAAATATCAAACACAGTTTAAAAAATCTGTGGAAAAACAGAAAGCAGGCGGCTTTTTAAAATTAAATGATATCTCAAATATGGCGCACAAGTGTAGATAGTATTCCACAATTAATCAGCCATAATTTGCTACAGTGGAAAAAAGTCAAGGCCGTTCTTCAGTATCGACATTTTTCTCATTCGATGGAACTATAATAGTAGATGAGTTTTTCCAACGCTAATTTATAGAAGAGAGCCTGGGTACGAGGTTGATTTATACCACATCTGTTTTGAGACAGATTCATTCTTCAATAGGCCACTAGCCGAATCTATGTATGTCTTTAGAGAATCCTTGCATTGTTATTATAAATTGAATCCGCATAAATTAGCTCAAGTCGAAAACACATGAAAACGAGGGACTTTGGCGTCAATTTACGCGACATGTAAAAGTTGCATGACAACTAAACAATTAAGCATGTAATGGTACTAATTACATTTAATGCTCTCAATTTTGACCATAATCATGAAATAGAAAGAAGGAAATGCTGGCTGGAAATTTCTTGGGTATAAAAAATGCACATTTATTTTTTTAATTTTAGTAAGCGTCGGCGTTTTGAACAAAGTATAGTGTAATTACTTCATTTTTATACTGCCGAATTTGAGAAGGCGTGTGTTTCCATAGCTACCAAACCAGTGTAACAAGCATCCGCAAACCACAAACCATGAACAGCAGTTGACGTCTGCAGTGTAATGTTTTGCCACGGTATACATTTGTTTGTTTTGATAGAAAATAGACCACTATAGCTTTTATCCCTGGGCTGTTTATCTGGTCTAAATTATTACTTTTTATATGAATTACAAATATTATAAATTGCCTTATTTTTGTTTAAGGATTTTGAATTTAAAAAATGACACGGGTATTTCGGTTTACAAGAATAAAGGATTCAGCAATGTTTATCGGAAAGTCATATACCGCTTTAGTGCGGATATCTCGGAAGAGAATACAGTATTCATACATGCGAAGTAAATTTCCGAGTGATATGTTAATCTGTATATAAAAACTGACGGGAAGGAAATTAAAACTCAGCAAGTGAGTGTGTCACGGAAGGTGACAAATGACGAGGAATATGGAACTACAGACAAAATATTCGGATTTTCAAAGCCCATTCTTTAGTTACAGTTATTGTTATACACAAGTTTTTAAACACATCAAGTTGGAGGAATTCCAAACAAACCACAAACTGTGATCAACTTTAGTTAACACTGAACACACGTCATTTTATCTAACCGATGAAGAAGTTGACATGAAGATTTTTCTATGCCTTAGGACATGTCATAAATGGTACAAGTTTTTTCAACATATCGACAATCTCTTGAGTAACGTCGTTTTTACCATACAATATATCTAGTAATAGTAATCAAGTAGTCAAAGGTTTGCATACTATCCGGTCATATTCGTATTCCGACTAATATTTAATATTTCGCTCTTTTTGCTTCGCCTTTGGTCGACTAGGTCCATGCATATAACTCAATGGATTAATTATATGGCTTATGATTGTGGCATGTTCCAGCATATATAAATGTTTTTATTAAATAGTCTTTAAGTAATATTAGGTTTTTCTCTACGGAATTTATAGCCATAGAACTGAGAAGTCATTGTCATAGACATTCATGTTTATAACTTGTGGTAAAAATGAAATGAAAACTGCACATTTAATCACTGAGGAGATTATTTGCCTACTTTCACACTATAACTAAATCTTCACATGCATGTCTATATAGTTTATATTTGATGTTTAAAAAGACATTCGTGTATATTGATTATTGTTGCCAATATATTGTCTCTTCATGTTTTAATGAAGCACTTCGTTTGCATAACGAAAAAGAACCTTTATGTCATGGCTCTTGCACTTGCACATTCAGTTTGAAGTCTATAGAACGAATACATTCGTTTTTACACATGGCTACGATAAAGGTGGTGTATCCAAAACACGATCTTGATGTGGTTTATAAAAAACGTCTTCAATATTTGTCTTTGAATTGTCTTTGAGAGTTACATCACCTCATGCACTTAATGTTACGTGTCGTAACGATCGGAAAACTTTCGCAATCATAATTTAAAAATTCAAAACATAAAGTTCAATACAAAATGAATAGTTCTCAATGCCTTTCTATAGTGCCCATTTTAAGAAGTGAATTGGTGTTTCAAAGTTAATAAGTTTTATTAATTTGCCTAGTTAACCGGCCACGGCACAGCTCTTATCTTCTCTCATGCATACATAAATAGTCTGCTTACGCACATCAAATATTAACTAACACCCAAATATACTCAATTTTCTTCTACTTTTATTCGTTTAAGAGTTCGTTAAAAGCTCAAGTTGTTGTAAAAATCACGTCGTGGTATGCCTGCTTGGCGTACCCATGGTAGTGGTGGGATTTAGACGCCGTAGACAAGGGCAACGAGATTTTTTCCACCATGGCAACTTAAGAACCAAACATGGCACGTCATTCTTCTTTCTCAGCATGAGCTTAGACAAAATTGATCAATGGTCATTTAGTGTCTCTATCATTCTACTCATCACTTTCATTTAATACACAGAGTTTTCTAGACCAAGAATGGTCTAGTCTTTCAATTTATATAGATTGGCAGAAAAATCATGTCTTAGATAAAACGTTTTGTATCCTCTGTGACTTATACCAGCCGGATGATCCTGTACTGATGCTTCTATATACACATCCCCGTCAACTTGAAGTTAATAGCATGTTTTTATAGAGAAATACAAACATTATAGATAAATAACTTGAGTTATTTACTGATGCATATTACACAGAACATAATTTACAGTATTTCGTGTGAATATTTGATAATTAATAATATCACTTGTTTGCATGTAAAACGTTGTCACGAAATCGCGCCATGTTGTGAGGCCTGTGATACTGCCTGAAAGCTCTGAGCGTAAATAAAACGTATTCTAGCTGCCTAAACAATACCATAGTTACTGTTTATTTTTGCTATGAATCTGAACAGGTGCTTGCCGTATCCATTAGTAAGTAAACGAACTTGTCCAAATAGAGATATCCAATCGTCGGCAATGTTTGATCAATACTTGTCTTGTTGCATTAAGACAGTGGTCTAAGTAACACGGAATCATTGGGAAAGCACTGCACGCTTATTTCAGTTTCATAAAACAATGTTCATAATGGTGTTTAGGTATAAAATCGGATTTATGTTCAGGAATAATATACTGACCTTGAACACGGTTACAGGGTGGTCTCTCCATAAAATCATGGCACACTCGTGATAGAATTGAAAGATTTTGTAACATATTGTCGTCTTAAGTCTTCAAAATCTCGTCACAACTTGGATCAATGTACAATCACTCGAAATAATTAAAAAGATGATGTATTTTTCACTGTATTGAAGTATATTTTCTATCAGCAGTAGATATACCGGTGTGTACTGTTCACCATCGCAACTACAAGAGGTTTCTAGTCTCGGCAGCACATAGTGCCGAATATCGCCCACGCGGCATCAAGACTCCCGTTATACTTCAACGACTTTCCTTAGTAGGAGGTCACTACAGTACTAGGCTAGATCGTTAGCACTCATCTATTCAGTTTTACAACTCAGTGATTATAAGTTATAGTCACGCTCAGGATAAGATAAATAAAGGAAAATATTTTAGAGATGTATGGGTATGTATTTAATATACCATTTCATAAAGTAAATATCTGCACGCGAATGATATCTGTGCTTAACTGAACAGTCTAGTGGTTGGTCTAGCAAGCATGATCATGCAAGCAGAGACAGATGTTGTCAAACTTATTGAAGCCGGCAGTAGTTCACTTAGCCTTAGACCGCTTATATGACATTAAGTCGCTAACCGTACAGGTTTGCTTTCGACAAACTTTGGATAATCTTGTTGTATTGTCCTAATGTAGTGTGTACATGCCCAAACTAGGCTGTATATTGATTATTGAAAAATTGTTACAAATAACATATTTGGAAATGTGTGTGGAAATAATTTCCAAAAGGCTTTAGTATAAACACTGAACAAGGGGACACAATGTGGCATGATTTTTCAATTGTCTTTGGCAAGTTTCTACGACTCTGAAGAGTAAGGATGTTTCTTAAACACGAATGTAAATTTTGACTGGTTATACAATATCTGCTAATTGCCACCACACAATTTGCCATTTAAGTCCCAAATCCTCAGGCCAAGCTATAGTCAGCGGTATGATTCACATAATAAACATACCACTTGCAGCATCTTCCAGTCTTTGCTGATGTGCTTCCAGTAACTGTAAATAATCTGGATCATCCGAAGTTGTTTTCTCACTGGAAGTTTTTAACACGACTTCGTGTCCGTCTACCACTTCAATAGATGATTCAGATTCCTCGTCTGAGAAACCTTCTAAAACAAACAAAAATATGAACTGCTTTGGATACTATTTCTCATCGATCATTGAAAGAGAAAAACAGTTCTCAATGAGTTTCATGCCAAGGCCAAGACTGCATGCATGCCTTTGCGGATGAAGTGACCTTCCTTTATTTGTTTAACATTAACCAAACTGAGCAACAAAGCTAGACAGTCACGTGAAAGAAGACCATGTCAGTATGTCTATCTAGATTTGGCCAACGCTGAAACCTCCATAGTTCAAGATTTTAAAGAAATTTGAAACCAATATCGTAGTATCAAAATTATGAATCTATTTGATTATTCAAAATGTAATGATATACAAAAGGAATTACAAGAAAGGGATAATTCAAGCTCAGTAGGGCATGGTATTAGGCAATACGAAATAAAGAAGTAAAAACATGTTGGAAAACTCGTAGTGTGAGCCAAAAATAGAAACTTAATCAGATCGGCTGAGATTTCAAAGACATAGACTTAGTGTTTTATTAAAAAAAGTTACCGAACTTTGAATGAATGAATGAACAACTTTATTTAAAGAGGGTAGAAACACATGACAGCAATATAGCTGAAAAACCTGTAGCCCTCATATACAATATATACAAAGTTATTAATTCTACTTTAAAACGTCTATAAAGGCTACTTAGAGTAAATATGTAAAAGATCTTAGGATTATAAATGTATATATCCAAATTATATACAGTACAACTTGATGGTACGTCACAATAATAATTCGAAGCGATCAATGCCCTTATAAGATTCTAAGAAGTATTTTTTAAGGGCAAACTTAAAGGAATTAACGCTAGGTTTCGTCTTAATTTCGTCTTAACTTTCCTTTTCTTTTAATTATTGTAATTAGATGATGGAGTCTAACGAGTAAATGATCGAGTTCATGAACTTTCTATGATCAAAATTCTCGAGGTGCAAACTCTCGGCTGCCACATTCGTTGCAGGTGAATGTCCGCCTGATCTCTTTTGCTTTTAACTGACTCAACAGCAGTTTCAGGATCACTCTTGTTCCCCGAGCATGCCCGTTCGCAGGTTAAGTGTGGGCATAGCTCTGGAGAAATCGAATTGATTCAGGCCTGTGATTGGCTAACGGCAGATAGTACGTTGGATTTCCAACGTGAGTTCTATATAAACAAAGTATTTGGAATTTCTCGTCGAAAATTTGATACTTTTTACACCGAAATCGATTGAAAACAACTGGAGATTCTGGAAGAAATATCTACGAAAGCTGCGGATTGATAGGGATACAACTACCTGAAAAATACAAGGAGAACTTCGACGTTTCGAGGGAAGGCGCTTCGACTTGTGCTGTTAGTCTTTGTATACATCGTACTTGACTTTTTATATACTGTCATACCTAACACTACGTATACCATAAATTCTGACAGAAGAGTTATATGTAAATTTTAAAGCATAAAAATATATAATACTTATTATTGAGGAGATTATATTTATCAGCAAAGGTCAAGTACGATGTATACAAACAGTACAGATCGAAGCGCCTTCGCTCGAAACGTCGAAGTTCTCCGGTCATGTATTTTTCAGGTAGCTGTAGTATCCCTATCAGTATCCAACCGAAGCTTTCGTACATATTTCCCCCAGAATTTTTAGTTGTTTTCAATTCGATTTCAGTGTAAAATGTATTTATATTTTGCAACATTGCCGAGCATGCGTAGAACTCACGTTGGAAATTTAACGTGAATCAATTCGATTTCTCCAGAGCTATGCCCACCCTTAACCTGCGAACGGGCATGCTCGGGGAACGAGATTGTTTCAGAATGTGAGAACAGGTCAAGTGCAAGAGTCTCTTCTTGGCAGCAAAATGCTCTGTGTAAGTCAAATACAAGACTTCATATTAGGTAGATTTCAGAGAACATATGCATGGTGCCACACAGCATTATAGACTTCAATTTCGGCACAAGACAATTTCCGACCTTGTAAAACGCTTTAGGAATTTTTAAACAATAACCTGCAATTAAGACAAAAATATCCTGCGAAGATATTTTGTTAAAAACTTCCTGGGAACGGTGCTGCAGATTTTCCAGCAGTGAGTGAGAAGATTACTAATATTTAACATTTTTATAATCTAATCATAAATATACCTTCGTTATCACATTTTGTCTGAAACATTGGTCCCTCGACATGTCTGGATTTCTTGCCTTCTTTCTGTTGGACCTTTTCTCCGGAATTTCTTTCATTCTTTTCGTCAACAAGAAATATATAACGGCCAAGTAACTCCTGGCCATTTACCACTTTTGAACCTGAAGTCACTGTAGAATCTATTGATAATATATGAGCAATGGTTGGCAATGAAACAGTCATGAGAAAAGACTTAAAGAGTTCCGATAGCAGAAGCAGAGGTAAGACCCTGGGCTGGGTAAGCGAGTGCCTTGGGCTGGGTAAGAGAGTTTCAAGGTTGAAAAAATGACATACAAAATGTCATAGTACATATGAAAATATACTTTAACTTTATCTTTATCTTGGTGAACAACTCTTAGTCTCTCACATACTAACAGATAAATTTGCTGACTTGAAGACGGAGTTAATAGATCGTCACAAAAATCCAATATCTAAATTTAATACAAGCTACAAAGCTGCCTCTGCATACAGTCATACAGTATATTATGTTATCCAGATCACTATCACAAATGTTCACTACGATACACTATAGTTATTTCTCCTTATGCGTTTTCAAACATATTATTGCATTACTTTCAATCAATGTTTCAACTATGTTTGCGGTGAGGCATGTTTTAACAGTTGAAATGCAGGCAATGGCAAAACACTGTAGCTAATATGCATAAATAATTTATTATTCCCTAAAATATAAATACTAAACATTATTCACTGTAATTCTGAATAATTTTTCTTAAAGATCAACACTCGGCCTTGACAAATTAAATCGTCTGGTAAATATTTGAGAAATCTGACTGAACTAGAAAACATGTTCCGCGTGCGTTTCTACCGATACAATTATTGGGGTACGCGCGTGTAGGGTGAGTTTTTCCAGGTTATTTCGAGTGTTTTTTAACTGTATGAAAACACGGGAAAATATATTTTCTATTTCTTTTTTTCTATTAATTAACTACAGCAATATCATAAATATTTTTTAACCGATTAATTTACAAATACATATTATCTAAGAATAATAATCGCGTCAATTTCACTTTAAAATATTCTTGTTCTCCACAATAATTTCAACTGAGAAGTCGTTTTTTGTGCTATAAATGTTAGATTATAAAGCAGTATAGTACATTAGCATACAACTGCGTTAATTACTAATTTAAAAGATTCATGGTTTCTGATTGGCTAACAGCCAACTGTTAAATCGTCATATCAACTCAATAACTGACCAAATATGGAGTTTTGAAACATAGTAATTAGTGTACTTATGAAAGAAAAAAGGAAAGCTTTTCAGCAAATGGGAAAAAGAACTGGTCGTTATTTCAACAAATTGAACTCACAGGTGCAGATGTCCTTTTCATTTTTCAAAGAAATAATAAAATAATTATTGAATTTAGTTTTTGCAAGATCTGAATTAGCCCTCAGCTTGTGTTGTCAACCTTATAAGCCTTTGGCTTCAGTTGAGAACACAAACTTCAACTCAGGCTTGATAATATATCATGTTCATGAACCTCATTCAAATTAAATTGACAATAATTGTTAATTATGAATCAACAAGAGGTTAATCCATTAACCAGTGGCAGAGAAGAAATATTTGGGGTGTGAATATATAAGTTGTCAACATATTGCTGCTCTTTTATGACTGCAGTTCTGATGGCTCAAAAATTAAAGAAAATTTGACTATCAACATTTCCCAGTTGATACGGTTAGTTATAATATAGCATTTGTAAATTCTGAACGCTGATTGGCTAAGAGCCGTGTTGATATAACTCAATGTCAACACGGAAACGTCGGAAAATTTCTTTCTTTATATTTCTTTGTGCTATATTATAAAACATTTTTTCCGTATTGATATACAGTTACATCAATAACACTCGTGGAAATTGGGAAAACTCGAAATTGTGTGAAAACACTCTAGCTGCCCTTCGGGCGTCGTGTTTCCACACAATTTCTCGTTTTCCCATTGGGAAAACTCGAAATTGTGTGAAAACACGACGCCCGAACAATTTCCACTCGTGTTGATATAACTGTATATCAACACGGAAAATGTTTTATATTTGTTAATTATAAAATCAATTAGCTATCATTATCATGCACAGGTTGCAATTGGAACCAGTCAAGAGGTGCATGGTTGGCCACTTGTTCACTTTAGTGTCCTCCAATACCATAAATGCATCCTAAATCACTTAATTGGTTCCCATGACAAGTAAAATTATAATGTCTGCTAAAAAGAAGCAGGGTGAATGAGAGCTAGCATATGCTGCTTTAATAATGGCTTGAGAGATATGTCTGGTTTGTCCACTAATGCTCAACTTCTTCTTCTTAATTGTCAAGAATAATGTTTAATTATCAAATAAAGTAGGGAGCATTAGGGCACACTGCAGCTCAACCAATTGAGTGACAGCACTCTCTCCTAATGATGATTGGCCTACAAAAATACCAGTGGTTCCGGCAAAGTGTAGGGAAACAATTAACCAGACGAGTATATATAGGGCCACTTAGGGGAGACAAAAGTGGGAATTTTTTTAGGCTAGTCCCAGGTGTCTATTCTGTAATACAATTTTATAGTGAACTGCTGCCGTTTACTGGCTACCAATATGTTAATCACGTTGGCAGCCAGTAAATGATGTGGACACTTTTTGACGCTTAGTGGCCCTATACTGGTGTTTCCCTACACTGTGGTTCCGGTTTCCCGATCGACCCTATTTTTTTCTGCCGACCCTATTATTTTTTCAACGCAATTGACCGTGCAACCCTATTTTCTCTGGGTGGTTGCAGGCTGCTCATACAGCATGCCAAAATGGCATCTGTTGTCACAATAATTATTTATTTATTTAATTCGCCTTGTACATATTACAGTGGCAAGGAATCTGCAACAGTGTAATTGTCAATTACTGCAGGCCCAAATTGCCTAAGTTTGTCCATAGGAAATATGCATCTCTACTTAATATTGATGTCGGGACTCTATACTGAAAATCGTCCAACAAAAAAAGCCCGCCAAAACCATGAAAAAAACGTTTTTTAAAATTTATTTCCGACCAACCTACCCAAACTGGAACCACAGATAATTTTTTAGGCCTGAGTAAAATCGGTTGATGTTAGACAGAGTAAAATAATAAAGTACGATGCCTCAGGGTGCATTGTCACTTAATTAAAGGGCTAATTAGAGGCACAGCCAGATAGCCTGGTTAACAGTAGAGTAACACCATTGGGTCATTTCAGAAAAGATCCACATGCACTCCCCCCACAGAGGAAATTTCTGCCTTCCAGAGGGGGAGACAAAATTGTTTCTGATAATAGTAAATGTATTAGGACATCCGAAGGGGGTAGGGGGGTTAAATTCCAATTTCCTCCGTGGGGGTGGTATGGATGTATTCTGCAGTGACCCATTGGCTGTGGATGTCGCTTTCCACGGCATGCTCTTCTTGGAAAATGTTGAAATCTAGAGTTCCTAAAATGGCATTTCCTACATTCCGGGGGAGGATTGCAGAAATTGCTATTTTGTTATAAATTTTGCATTTTAGACATTGGCATGTTTTAAAACTCATTATCTTATACAAACCATGAGAAAAAGTTCAGATTTAGGAAAGGCTTTTTGAAGATAATTTTAAACTATACAGTGTACAAAATAGGCACTATTTTAGTGGCAGGTGATTCCCCAGTTCACACATCCTCTTGTTCACTCCTCAGCCAGATCTGATACACCTAATGCATCCTGTTTTATTCTTTTGCTTTGTCTAATGCAAGATAGCTTAATTTACTGAATAGGGGGTATGGATATAGACAGGTTTTAAAGCCCTTTTCCCAAATGCAAACAATGCTGTTATACTGAGATCTGTAATTAACGTTTTCTGTAATTCACATTAAATTTGCAAGTCAAAATTCGTACCATATACTATGCATCAGAAAGATTTAAAAACGAAACAAAAAGTACCTTTTTGAACAGCGACGTCCAACGGCAACGGTAGCGTTGCCTGCTTTTCATTCTCTTTGGAAAGAATTTGGACACTAACTTTCATCTGATTTTTGCTCTTGTTAAAGTCATCTTTCAGATTAACCGGATTTTGTGTAACCTGTGGCTGTGGAACATTACACCGTATCGGTGTTTGAATCATCACTCATTGGTCGGATACACAGAATACACCTGTTGGAGTTACGAAGAAAGAAACAAAGAAACAACTCAATTTAATACAAAGAAACATTTCTAACGTTTGGTTTCTTCAAAATGTTCAAATCCTGTCAGTAACCTTTTTGACTGTTTGTTGGCAGTTCTCGTTGACTCGTTCACGTCATGCACACAATTCATAAACTGATAATGTTCAAGATAAAAATACTGCTCATTTAATTTAAGATTTGAGCTAGCGATGAGCCGACGACCAGTTTAATACAACGTATTTTCAATCAAATTTTTAATACAAAAATAATGTTTAATTAAAAAGACGGAATTTTTATTTTACTAACTACAAAAAACCTAAAATTGTTATAAAACATACCGGTTCTACCATTTTTCAGCTTTTTCATTAGTGTTTTAGTTGAGAATGAAAAGATAGCGATCCAGCCTTAGACAAACTGTAAGTACACAAAAACTCCCAGCCGTTGTTGACGCCATGAACGCTTTCTTTTTGGAAAGTTGAAAGCTCCTTCCCATGCTCTTTAAAAGTCTTAACCGCGCTGACCGCAGCAAGAAAAAGCAAGAATTTCCCCATGTAACATTGCTTTTAGTTCCCTCCCACGCTGCTAAATAATTATTGTGACAATAATGATTGTCTATAGACATTGTACTTTTGTAGTGATGTTCAGGACCAAGTAAAGAAAGTGTTTTGAGGAGAATGGCAAAGGCCGCAAAGCGCAAACTGACTTAACTGAGTCGTAAACGAATCAAGGCCATGGTGCTTGCTGGACAGATCAGTGACTGACCCATCAAATATTTCTGACCAAGATTTTACGACTTGTGGCGTCTGGATGGCATGCTCCCCCAGAAAGTTTTGTTTAATTTCCGATCCAGGGCAAACTCCGCATAAACAGCAACGCAATGATACTTGGGGTACACACACGAAATATTGACGTTTCAAGCGGCTGGAGATGATACGCAAATAAACTACACCGGACTCTCAATATTATTAATGCTGTTTCATTAGTATTTTCTATCGCTGTATAGTAACACCCAGTCGACAGCTATCTGCTATAGAGTTGTACGATAGCCCTAAACAACTCCTCGCAGACTAGATTGTGACAATAATAGCTTTCAAAAATACAGAAAACATGTGTTCCATTTATTATTTGAATATACTTAGTCTCTATAACTATCTGGGTTACAAAAACTGGTATCAATTTAGCCTTTAGCTCCTATTGCAGGGTTTTTTTAGGATTTTTTTGCTGGGCCCGTTTTTGACAGAAGATTGTACCCATAAGCTATACACTTGTACAGCAGGAAGTCTGGGGCCATAATATTGAAGTCGTTTGGGTTGAATTTGTGACGTGAATGTACAGACCGTACTCTTTCGACCCTCTCCCAAAGTGTACTCTTAAATGTTGAATCTCAGCAATGATGCATGATTGTGGAAAATGTTGATAATTACGGATGATCACTTACTGCAATTAACGTTTGATGACATAAATGAGTTTCAGAACTCAATTGAAGATTTTTACGGCCACAAAAAAGTCCTGAAAAAAAAGCCTGTATTGCGATTGAAGTGAGCGTATTCTGCATTTCAATATGCTGCAAAAATAATTCATGTATTCAGTAAAAATCTAAAATTTAACACCATTAATATAAAAATATTCAAAGATATGTATAACGGCCATGGCCCATGTATAACAGCTATGCACATGCATTATAATATTTATTACCATCGCCTATTTACCTACACTACACAGGGATGGATCCAACTTGTTCTGGCAGGGGGGGGTGCTGATCATGGTATATGGTGTGACCGTTGAGGGCTGGGTGCAAATCGCTGAGACAGTGTCCTGGGGAAAACCTGGTCAGGTTCCTAGCTGATCATAAAATGGGGGTGTGACCGTTGAACGTGGCAGGGTGCTTAGAGAGGCAACTGGCAGGATCTTAGATTCTAATTACCTTGTCAGAAAATTTTGAAAAATAAGTCTGTCTGAAAGTACGTTTACGGTTTTGCTAAATGTCGTCAGATAAGGTCAAATTTCATCTTTCAAATATCATATCAAATATTGAAAGGATCTCCAACGACATCAAAATAGCAAAATATTGGTAATGAAATTGGAACCCTGCTGCATTCCCCTGGGAAAGAGTGATGATTTTCACCACTCATACCAGTTAATCCATCCCTGGCATTACAAACTACCCTTGTAAGAACTATTTTGTCTCATTTAGAATATGCTGCAATCTTGCAAATGTTATAAAAGATCAGTTATTATAAAAGATCAGTTATTATATAACGTATACATAGCAAAAATATCTATAGTACAAATTATTTGTTTTAGAAAATAGTTTCCACAAAGCTGTTCTCATGGTGACGCATCAATTTTCAGGAAGAAGTTCGTACAATTCTTCAGCATCTTCTCCTAATACAAAAATGTTACAAATTTATGAAACACCCAAAAATTGCCAGTGGAGTACGAGTGTCAGTTTTACAGGCTAACCATTTTTTACAGTCGATTTCACAAAACTTTGACCAAATGTTCCGAACTTCGTTGCGAAGTTCGGAAGTTCATATTGGAATGCACAACCCAATTTGTAAACAAAGTCCCTGATTGGTCCGTGAAGTAAAAGAAGCCAATCATATGCGTAGTTTACGAACTGGTTTGTGAATCTCAGTATGAACTTTTGAACTTCGCAACAACTTGCAGGGCGCGAAATAACGGCTGGAGGGTCGGCGGTCAAGGTTACCGGCCAACTCAATTTTAGATTGGACATACCAAATTTCTGGCCGGTCAAATTATTCAGCTTAATGCAAAGCCTAGTAAAGTATACCCCTAAAAATGTGACCATTTTCCCAGTATAGCAGTACAAAAAGTCTTACTATAATCAGTAATTAAAAATTCCTTCACATAAAACAGCTTGTACTGGGCTAAAAGCATGGTCTTAGCTCTTAAGCCAAAGGCATGGTCATGGCCCATGGGCTTTGTGACGTACTGCGTGCGAAAACTGGTGTACATTGAAGTTGTTTTCCTGCAAAATATTCGACAACATGCATGTTATGGTTCTTAATTATAATACTGTACTTGAACACTTTATTTTGATCATTATTATAAAATGAAGATTAGTTTGTTCTTTTACCAAATGAAGATTAGTTTGTTCTTTTATTAGTTTGTTCTTTTACAAGGTAAGAATTTGACCCGACAACTCCGCATTCTGGCCGGACATTGTCCGTTGACCGGCCGTTATTTCGCGCCCTGACTTGCGAACTTCGCAACGAAGTTCGGAACATTTGTAGTCAATTTTCGTGAAATCGACTATAAAGGCTGGTTTACACCAGTAAAGTTTTTGTGATCAACGTCTTTGTGATCACAGTAGGAATTTTGCATGGGTAAATTTTTGAAGGATTTGTAGGAAATTTTTGAGGGTACTGACTCATTGTTTAATACTGTGTCAGTTCCCTCAAATCCTCAAAACTGAGAATTTACCGATGAAAAATTCCTACTGTGATCACAGAAACTTAATTTGGTAGTGTACACCAGCCTCAAGTGGCAAGCAAGAGTTACATTAATTCACACTATATAATATGTGGAAACACGTGACATACCTGCTACGTCATCATAAATTTCTGGATCATCTAATAATATATGGAATAAATTAATATTGACGTAATGAAATACCCTGGGTATAAAATCACATTAATATTCACATGAAGTTAGTGAATATTAATTTAATTTTAATAAACCAATTCGACGCAAGTTAACAGACGTCAATTCGGCGAATGCGAGCGGCGAATGCTCACGGTTGGGACTAAGTTTCCACGAACATGAACAATCACAGTTCTAGGGATAAGGTAACGGAGATTTCTGGCTTTTGGCGCCTCCACTGTCGACTGGCTCTCGTGCAGTGACAAAACCTGCTTGGCTCACTCGCACGATGGCAAGACAATATGGTGGCAGGGCAACGTAGTAAGCCTTCCTTTCGATTAAGTTTGAGCTGCGTCCATCGTTTTTAGCTGCAAAGAAAGGTGATTTGCACGCCAAGGGACTGAAGATGGGCCATGATTCAATTAATTACGTGGCTCGTTGTTTGAAGGGCGGTTACCGGAATCTGCTGTGACAGTTGTGTGCAGGAAAGCGTGAGCAAGCGCAGAGGCGATTTAGCCTGACCCAGACAGCACGTATGAGGGGTGTGCCCAGTAGGTTTAAAGAAGAATCAGCGCGAAACCTACCAATTAAATGGTTAAGAATCAAGGTCTTTCAATAGGGAAGAAAACTGGTGTATTTGGAGAAAATCCTTGAAGACCACAGGAGAGAACCAGACACGACTCTAATACGAGTTTTGAAAGAGCGGGGAAGTCACCCATCAAGTAAGAATACTCAAAATGCCGCTTAACTCAGTGAACAGCAAACTAACCCCGTGCCTGCCACCCGTGCTGTCACTCACCCCTTGTCTGCCACCCATGCTGTCCCTCACCCCGCACCTGCCACCTGTGCTGTCACTCCCCCCGTGTCTGCCACCTGTGCTGTCACTCGCCCCTTGTCTGCCACCCGTGCTGTCACTCACCCCTTGTCTGCCACCCATGCTGTCCCTCACCCTGCGCCTGCCACCTGTGCTGTCCCTCACCCCGTGTCTGCCACCCGTGCTGTCACTCACCCCGTGTCTGCCACCCGTGCTGTCCCTCACCCTGTGCCTGCCACCCGTGCTATCACTCACCCCTTGTTTGCCACCCGTGCTGTCCCTCACCACTTGTCTGCCACCTGTGCTGTCCCTCACCCCGTGTCTGCCACCCATGCTGTCACTCACCCCGTGCCTGCCACCTGTGCTGTCACTCACCCTGTGCCTTCCACCTGTGCTGTCCCTCCCTCTTGTCTGCCACCCGTGCTGTCACTCACCCCGTGTCTGCCACCCGTGCTGTCCCTCAACCCGTGCCTGCCACCCGTGCTGTCCCTCACCCCTTGTCTGCCACCCATGCTGTCCCTCGCCCCGTGTCTGCCACCCGTGCCGTCCCTCTAAAAATAAAACTCTAATAACCGTACCTGTAGGGGGCTTGGGCGCACTTTGTGTCGGGGGAGGTGGTGGGGAAGTTACAGGAGGGGTGGGAATATGATTTCCATTGGATGATTGAATAATTCGCATTTTAGAAGCTGGAACCTCTTCATAAAGATCTTCTCCATCATCAGCCGGTTCTTTCTGAAAAATAAAAACCTATCATTAATATCTTAAACATGTGGGTCCTGTGTGGGTAGACAGGGTAGTATACAACAAGTTTTCGTAGTTGTCTCTAAACAACTGACAAATATCTCAAACACGCTAGCTTTGGATAGGCAGTATGCTACAATGAGCTGCCATTGTTTGTGTGTGAACCAGACTTGTATTTAAATTTGCGCAGTATTAAGAACAGGCCATTTCCAAATTACGCTCTTGTTGTCAAGAACACTAACGCCAAGTCGAGGCTTCGTGTTAAACTCATTATTTGCACGAAGTCTCGTTCTCAGGCTATTGTCTGTCGACATTCGACCGTAATTTGGAAATTGCCCAGATTAGTGCGCAAAAAACGTTTGCTGCTGTAATATGCGGGTAAAATAATCCAAAATGCTTAATATTAAAGGGTTAGTGTCACACCATGGTAATGCAGCCTCAAATTCGTGGTGGCAGCCATTTTATGGGCCGAGTCGATCAGTAAAATAGATCAACAGATCTTGACAGCTTTTTGTAATCCGTCGTATAAGGAAAAGCCTGGGTACGAGATCGATTTAAACCATCCTTTGAGATTTCTTGCTTCTTTTATCTGATTCTTATTGGAAATTTACCAAACAAGGAATTTTTATCGTTATTTGACGATTTTCGGTAAAATAAAAACAACAAAAGCCCTCAATACTTTATTTATTTAGCTTTGCCAACTAGGGCAGGGTCACCACAACAGCATATGCCAATTACTGTGGGCCTTTTTTTTACCTAACCCACCCTGTCAACTTTCCCTGTGGGAGGAAACCGGGGTACCCGGGGAAAGCCCACGGCTTTCGGCAGAGCGTTGGCTTTTACTCTTTTCACATGGGGACTGGGTTCGAGTCGCACTGAGAAGGTACTTAGTGAGACTCGAACCTGCAGCCTCAGAGGTGAGAGGCAGGTGCGCTAACCACTTGGCCACCGAAGCCCCTTAAATAATAAAAATAATAAGCCCTTTAATACCTAAAATAATAAGCCCTTAAATAATAAGCCCTTTAATACCGTGGTGTGACACTAATACAGTATCTTATCCAGGCGTACAGTATCTTATCCTGGCGTACAGTATCTTATCCTGGCGTACAGTATCTTATCCTGGCGTACAGTATCTTATCCTGGTGTACAGTGTCTTATCCTGGTGTACAGTACTACAGTATCTTATCCTGGCGTACAGTATCTTATCCTGGGGTACGGTATCTTATCCTGGGGTACAGTATCTTATCCTGGTGTACAGTATCTTATCCTGGCGTACAGTATCTTATCCTGGCGTACAGTATCTTATTCTGGCGTACAGTGTCTTATCCTGGCGTACAGTATCTTATCCTGGTGCACAGTATCTTATCCTGGTGTACAGTGTCTTATCCTGGCGTACAGTATCTTATCCTGGCGTACAGTATCTTATCCTGGTGCACAGTATCTTATCCTGGTGCACAGTATCTTATCCTGGCGTACAGTATCTTATCCTGGCGTACAGTATCTTATCCTGGTGTACGGTATCTTATCCTGGCGTACAGTATCTTATCCTGGTGTACGGTATCTTATCCTGGTGTACGGTATCTTATCCTGGCGTACAGTATCTTATTCTGGCGTACAGTATCTTATCCTGGTGTACAGTGTCTTATCCTGGTGTACAGTATCTTATCCTGGTGTACGGTATCTTATCCTGGCGTACAGTATCTTATCCTGGCGTACAGTATCTTATCCTGGCGTACAGTGTCTTATCCTGGCGTACGGTATCTTATCCTGGCGTACGGTATCTTATCCTGGCGTACAGTATCTTATTCTGGCGTACAGTATCTTATCCTGGCGTACAGTATCTTATCCTGGTGTACAGTATCTTATCCTGGTGTACAGTATCTTATCCTGGCGTACAGTATCTTATCCTGGTGCACAGTATCTTATCCTGGCGTACAGTATCTTATCCTGGTGCACAGTATCTTATCCTGGTGTACAGTGTCTTATCCTGGTGTACAGTATCTTATCCTGGCGTACAGTATCTTATCCTGGTGTACGGTATCTTATCCTGGGGTACGGTATCTTATCCTGGGGTACGGTATCTTATTCTGGCGTACAGTATCTTATCCTGGTGTACATATAGGTTATCATATAAGGAATGAGGTGATATCAGTTTTATCGCTCAAGGGATGCGAGCGCAGCGAGCGAGGGACAATTGTGATATCGTCCCGAGAGCGATAAAACTGATATCACCGAATCCCGAGTACGATAACCTATTTATTATATACTTGTACCTTTATCAGGGTTTGACACCCAAAGTAAACAGTTTTGAAAAAATAGGATCATTTTAGAATTCAAAACAATTCATCATTTACTGAACAAATATGATTTTAGAAAATAAATAGACCATTCATATAAATAATATACAATTTAAGTCTTTCGTTTTGTATTATCGTTCTTGTTTTCTTCGATAAACTGTCCACATCAACCAACACGAACCTCGAGTCGGCCATCTTTGTTTTGACAAGGCGCGAAATTTAGCGGGACAAAAAACGATATCCGGGACAAAAAACGATATCCGGGACAAAAAACGATGTCAGGGACGATATCGTTTTTATGTCCCGCTGCTTCCTACCTGATAAAGGTACAAGTATGTGATAAAGTATCTTATTCTGGTGTACGGTATCTTATCCTGGTGTACGGTATCTTATCCTGGTGTACGGTATCTTATTTTGGTGTATGGTATCTTATCCTGGCGTACAGTATCTTATTCTGGCGTACAGTATCTTATTCTGGTGTACGGTATCTTATCCTGGTGTACGGTATCTTATCCTGGTGTACGGTATCTTATTTTGGTGTACGGTATCTTATCCTGGCGTACAGTATCTTATTCTGGCGTACAGTATCTTATTCTGGTGTACGGTATCTTATCCTGGTGTACGGTATCTTATCCTGGTGTACAGTATCTTATCCTGGCGTACAGTATCTTATTCTGGTGTACGGTATCTTATCCTGGTGTACGGTATCTTATCCTGGTGTACAGTATCTTATCCTGGTGTACAGTGTCTTATCCTGGTGTACAGTGTCTTATCCTGGTGTACAGTGTCTTATCCTGGTGTACAGTATCTTATCCTGGTGTACAGTGTCTTATCCTGGTGTACAGTATCTTATCCTGGTGTACAGTATCTTATTCTGGTGTACGGTATCTTATCCTGGTGTACAATATCTTATCCTGGTGTACAGTATCTTATTCTGGTGTACGGTATCTTATTCTGGTGTACAGTATCTTATCCTGGTGTACAGTATCTTATTCTGGTGTACAGTATCTTATTCTGGTGTACAGTATCTTATTCTGGTGTACAATATCTTATCCTGGTGTACAATATCTTATCCTGGCGTACAGTATCTTATTCTGGTGTACGGTATCTTATCCTGGTGTACAGTGTCTTATCCTGGCGTACAGTGTCTTATCCTGGTGTACAGTATCTTATCCTGGCGTACGGTATCTTATCCTGGTGTACAGTATCTTATCCTGGTGTACAGTATCTTATCCTGGGGTACAGTATCTTATTCTGGCGTACAGTATTTTATCGTGATGTACAGTATCTCATCCTGGCGTACGGCATCATATCCTGGCGTACAGTATCTTATCCTGGCGTACATATATCTTATCCTGGTGTACAGTATCTTATCCCGATGTACAAGTATGTATTGGAATAAATACATTTAACGATACGTTTGTATTTTGTAATATCCATAAAGATGTAAGACCAACCTCTATTTTGTCGATGTCAATAAAACCATCTAAAAGAAATAACCATGATTTAATGCAATTAATATAGAAGCACAGTATATAAAAGATGAAATGACAGGCCAACGGGCACTCGTTGAGGCAGACTACTTAGTCTAAATGTCACCCTCAGTACATAACGAGTGCATGAGAAAAATTAATGCACGCTAAATGTTGCTTCGGGCAAAACTGTCCATTTTCGTACCTTTTAACACAGACTAAAACAACCTAGAAATTGGTTGTCTCATTGTTTCAGATTCAATTTGAACCTGAGACAACCAATGTATGTTTCATTTATTGTTTTTACAGTGAAGATAAAAAGAAAGTTTAGGGTCAAATTATTCCATAATCAATTTGATAACGCTCGAAAACGCCCGAGAAATGTTAGCCAAAATATTAATATCAATATTATCATTTCCTTTTACCTATTGAATATGGAAATTCTTGCATCGACACGATTGTTTTTAAATCAATCAAATAATCCAATATTCTCAAGCCAACATTTCATGACTAAAATATGGGAGACAGCATTTTTTTTTTCATCTGAGTAGTTAAATTTCAATAAATTTATACCATGTTGAAATGCGGTTGTTGCATATAAGAACTAATATATTAAACATATAAAACCAACATACTCAATTTAAAACTTATACTCAAATTTATGTATTTCAAACTAATATTTTATATATTAGTTCTTATACAGGCATATAAGAACTAATATATAAAACCAACATACTCGAAACGAAGTATCTTGCGCGCTCAAGATATGAATATTCAACAATACAGTGTGGTTTGATTCTCTGATCCAAGTTAACGTCATTAATTTTCCAGAGCATCAACAAAAAAACCAGGAACTCATTTTTATGTTGAAATTTGTGTGCACGAAAATTTTTAACTGGTTTAGACGGTTAGGTCGTGAGTTACAACGAGGCTTTAGTGACGTAGCCGGCAGAGCAAGCGTCTTTCACCTCTCTCGCTACGGACTCAACGTGGGTTTTCTCAGCGTTCTCTGGTTTCCTCCCACAGGGAAAGTTGACAGGGTTGGTTAGGATAAACACAGTTAAGAAAGTGTAATATCACAATTGTTGTAAAAATAAAATAGTCTAGGCTAAGTGTGTGATTAGAGAAGCGTAATACTTGATGTAAAGGGCATTTGATTATATCCACAGGTAAATTTGTGCTATAGAATTTCAATTCTGGAATTCATTCTTATATGTAATCTTTACAAATCAATAACGTTATCTCGGATCAGAGAATACTTCAAAATCTTGATTTTGAAATATCGAAATATTAATAAATAAAACAGCAGTCTTATTTATTAGTCAAATCCTAAGAGCATAAAAAACTTCTAATCGGAACATGTTTTCTTTATATTTCCTAGAATTGTCGACTAGAAATACATATCGCAAACTTACACAGTCCTTGTTTGTTCCTCACAAGCCATTTGTTATTCGGATTTGGTTTTCCTTTTCTTATGATGTCAAATTCTTCACCAATCAATGCTGTTATATCCATCCTATTCCCAGCTATATCCTCTGCCGCAATACATGTACCTAGAGATTTCTCAGAACCCTTCACCTGGAACGAAATATAAAATTGTCAGTCCGATGTATTACTGTAACTCTGTGTCATGTTTAAGTGCTAAATAATACCCTATTCGTAATGCATATAGTCTATAAAGATATGATGGTCTCGAAACTAAACAAAAGTCAATGTATGTTTTTGTCGGAGATTATGTTAATTTGTGCAGGGTCACGGTGATTGAGCTCATTGTATTTTCGCATAATGAAGTAATCATCCAATAGAGATAACTTGAGATGAAACGTGCGACCACTACGATGAATAATATTTAATGAAGTTGAGACAAAAGATTTGTGTATGGTGAGGTTCAGTTCAACATTAAACAAACGTCTTCTATTTTGTAGCTTTGAAGTTTGCCAGACGTCCAGACCATCATATCTTGACTGACAATGCGTAATGTTATTACTTCAATAAAATGTTCTATATATGCCAACTTACAGCTTATACAAAGGAAGAGCCTATACCGATACTAAATATCGATACTTTCGTCTATACTTGCAAAAGTATTGGTAATTTAATTCAATACCACTTGAGCGTGCGATGTCTTTATGAGTCCCTCTGCATTTCCCTAAATGCTGACCAACCTTTGGTCAGCATTTATAAAAATGTAGGGATTTGCAGAGGGGTGTATGTTAGTGTAGGGAAAACTTTCATCATAATGTAAGATTTAACGTAAGGCCGAAAAATTAGTTGCATAAACTTGCACTTTAATATTTCAAATCCGACTATGAGGACTGGACTGAAATCTAGTCCAGTCCGAATTGGAGGATTTGAAATGACATCTCATGCGATGAATTAATGAGGTGAATTAATTTTGATCATGAGGTGAATTAATTTTGATCCAGTCCAAGAACTGAATTAATTTTAATCTAGTCCTAGGATTGGATCAATATTCTTCACCAGGTATCCAGTATTATCATGTGAGCAAAATAAAGCAATATGGTTGGCTAATTTACTCATGTATTATTAATTAGTTTGAATATAAAACGTTCTTATGCTTATCCTGTTTCCACTTACTCTACAATCTGGATCAAACGAGGATAAGAGTTGGCAGTCACGTGACCTTGGTTAGTTGTTCTTAATGCTTTCCTGACACTATCATGTATTTTATTTAAGTTAAAACACAGTTGGAACACCAATCATTATTTTGTTAATCTGGAGCTTGAAATGTGACAATTCACCCTCGTTTGACCAGGGCTTAAATATTTGTTTCATTTCATGAATTTTCTTTCTGTTTCCTTATTTTTACTATTTTTCTGTTTCCTACTATTTTACTATTTGTAAATGTCTTTATGATCTGACTTCAATAAAATATTTTCCACTTACACTAAATCTTCGTTTCATCTCACTAACTTTCTTCTCCCGTTCTTTATCTCGTCTCTTTCGTTCCCTTTCCTCCTTTTCTTTTTCTTCTTTCTCCTCCTTTTCTTTCCGTTTTCTCTCTTTTTCTTTCTTCTTCTTGTCCTCTTTACCCTGATCCTTTGCAGGCAGTGTAGGCGGAGCACTGGTAATGAGAAATTCACGTTTGATCAAAGATGGTTCAAGATAACCAACATTCGTTCTATACAGGAGTCAAGAACTTCCAAATAGTAAACTAATGCACCCATGGTGAGTCAAAAGATTGAGTAAAATTACTCAAATCTATGAGCAAATTTATTCATTTTTTAAGCGTAGAACGTAAATCTTCACTCAAAACATTGAGTAAATTTGAAACTTTAATAAAAAATTGAGCAAATTTCTCAACAATTTGAGTCATTTTACTCAAAATGTTGAGTCATTGTGGGTCCATTATTTTACACAAGTTTTTAAAATAATCAGGGATATTTATGCAGTGAATAAGAATGATCGTGCAGCAGATGGTCAACCAACAGTTATCAGAATGAAAAACTGAGTACGTTTTCTTCAATAAATGTGTACGATGCTTTAATTTGGAGGCAAATAAATAGAATTGAGTGATGCAACATTTTCTTCCCAAAACAGTCTGACCGAACCAGTTTTCACTTGAACTTCTTCATTGCCGGCTGACAATAAAAACTTACAATGGATTACAGTGTCCGCCTCCAGCCTAGACCTAGGCCTTTACTCGGCTGGTTTGGTCAATTTCGAGCTAGCATTTGGTAAGTATTGCCATTCTCGTGTGAAAATGCGCTAAATATTAAAAATACGAATAAAAATAAAAATAGAAAGCCTAGGCCTACGATGGTCCGCCTGAATTTCAAGCTATTTTTTCATGCGCACTCAAGTAAATTCGGGAAGGGTCCATATGTCATTTGTCTGGAGGTAAGCGGCAACCCTTCTAAAATTGTCCATTGATTTTTATAACCCAATTGAAACTTTTCGTTAACCTAGGATTAAGCTAATCAGATTTTGAACAATCGGTCACTGAGGAATATCCTATACGCTCGAAACGTCAATGTATTTATATTGTTAATTAGTTGAAACAAAAACGGAAACCCTTATGGTGTTGCTTACGTTTCTGCAGGCGGATCTTTACGCTGTTCCTCTTGATTTCCTAATACTGGTTCATAAATATCTTCACCAAATGTTTCATCTTGTGCACCCGACATGAGATTATCCTGAGAAAAATATTGAAACTCATAAACACGTGACAAAATATTAAAATACGTGCACGTTGTCTTCTGGTAAATCAATCAAACTGAGAAAAAAACCCTGAGAAAATACTGATCAAAGTTGAATGCAAACGGTGAGTTGTGTGGGATATTTGTTATGAACATAGAGATACAATTGTAGTAATAACATAGTAGGCCTACGTTATTTTCGAATTATGGTAGAATGCCCAGAGGCCTCGCACAAAGTTGCAAATTGTCTCTATGGCAAAGTTTAGCATGAAAAGCCTTGACTTGGCGTTATTGTTCTTCACACTAGAGCGTAATTTGGAAATGCGTTATTAGCCTTCGACCAGGACGCGCGTTCGCTCTTTTGAGTGGCAAAACTGCGCAGCAACAAAGGATGACAACAAGGGAAGGAGTGATTATTACTGTGTTTTTTACTTCTCGTCGATAAATTCCTCCTTCGCTTGATGCCGTCTATTTTCACCGTGCAGGTTGCCATGCATCCAAAGATGGCGGAGAATGCCTGCTTGCATGGCGTAATTAAAGCCGCGGATTGATAGAGTTTCAACTACGTGAAAAATATAAGCAGAACTTTGACGTTTCGAGCGCCTTCCTTCGTTGGGAAGTTACTAACTTAGTCCACTAATTACGTCTCGACGAAGCGCCTTCACTCGAAACGTGGAAGTTCTGCTTATATTTATCAGGGATTGGATCTCTATCCCATTCTTACTGATAGATGCAAGTATACTCGTAGTTTATTCACTGTTGCGAGTTCAAGAGACGCACACGTTTTCCTTGACAAGTTTTACTTGTTCCTATATACGGCAAAGGAGTTGTTCAAAAGCTGGTCATGGGCAAGTAATTGCGCAGTACGTCACTGCGCACTCATCGTCGAGCGGCCATTAAATCTAGTTATTTTGGCATTCGCTTTCGAAATTTCGGTATTGTAAACAGTTTCAGCTGTTTTTAATTCTATGGGAACCAGCTTTGAACGAAAATAATCTTTGAAATCGTTTACGTACTTAAATAGCACGGGTTCTTAAAATTTGTCAACGAATTTGTCAACTAGCCTACGTAGCAGCCGATTGTTTTGGGGAGGAGTAAAGGGAAAAAAATTAAGGGGGAACGGAAGAAAAACCGGCTGCTGGCTACTTCTCAAGGAAAACTTGCTCGAATTAATGAAACAAGGTTCTTACCGTACAAGCAGTATCATCATAAAAATCTTCTGAAGGCTCAGGCGCGTTAGAATTCTACAAAAAAAACAGCTTAATGCGGTGATTCGTATTACAAAATCTAAAATCGTAGAGCAATTCTGTGGTGGAATTTTGAGCCTGCGAACAGGCCCGTAACCCATAGAAGGTTCCCCGGCTAAGCCACCCTCGTAACCCATAGGAAGTTCACCGGCTAAGCCACCCTCGTAACCCATAGGAAGTTCACCGGCTAAGCCACCCTCGTAACCCATAGGAGGTTCCCCGGCTAAGGAAGCTTGAGGTGCTGAATTATGTTAACTAGCATTATATTCTGATCCGAAGGAATGTAGTTTTTGTAACCTCCGCCAAGTAATGCAGACTCATAAAATAAAGATTAAAGTTCATTGAAAAGACTTAATTAGTGTATAGCTATTTAGTTAATCAAGTTTCAGAGAATTGGGTTAGAGGAGGTTGACATTGCACCCTTCTGTTGCTGCAAATTTTAATCCTTTGAATTTTTTATCTTACATTTCGTGCCAATTTACTTGGTTTATAACCTATCAGATATGAATACTTCCATGATTGTGAAATTATTGCTACAGCTTTGTTACACATGTTCATTCACCTACTATTCCAAGTCCTTCAAAAATTATTTTGGGGGGGGTGCCATCGCCCACCATTAGTGCCCTCCCCCCACTGAGAGAATTCAGATAGGAATAATTGAATAAAGAATAAGTCGTATATTAAAAGAAATATAGCTGTAGATCTTACGGCACAGGCTGTGTCATCATAAAACTCTTCAAGAGCATCATTAGAGGCCTACAAAAAAGAAATTAATCATTGATTTACTCAAAACAAATTGGAGGCAATTGATAGGTACGGGAAAAACAAGTTGCGCTGAAACACTTTAAGCTGTAGTTCTTACCGAACATGCGGTATCGTCATAGAAATCTTCAGTTACACTGTGAAAAATGAAATTAAATTATCTTAACTGATTTTTGACCAGACATGGCAAAATTGGAACTTGTCAAATTATGTTGACAATTGTCTTGTATTGTACTAATTGCATAGTTGACAAGTTCCATTCAAAGATATTCTTATTTAATACAAATTGGTTCATTATCACCTAAATTCCTTATAATTACCTTTCAGGAATTTCCTCTTCACTTTTTTTCCTCCCTGAGCCTACAAACATGACGAAATATTCTCGGTTTAAACAGTACATGCAGGTAGGATAAGTATAGCTCCAAATTATTTCACAGACGAAACGGAAATTTTCTAAATTCGTTATTACTATAATTATGTACAGTAAATGAACGGACATACCTGGTCTTGTGGGTTTCTTTGGAATGGGAGGAGCATCTTGGACTGAAGAAAATGAATGATAATTAACTTAAAGGATTCTAACTATTGTTTACCTATAGTATTGTTTCTTGATGATTTATTTTAGTCCATTGCAATTCATCGGAGCCAGACACATGCTTGATTCGATTCGAAAGCTATAGCTGTCACAAATTTTACATTATTTTATACTTTATGTATTACAAGGCAAATAAACAATTTTTCAACAGAGACTGTCATTTACGGCAAAATGTAAAAGCTATTTTAACATTGGGAACAATTCACGCAAGGGAAATTATAGCCCACTGAAATGCACAAAAAAGCACTATAAAAGTCATGCAGGCTTGTTGCTAAACTTTGGTATTTTTAACATTTAATTTCTGCTTATACTATACTTTGTAAAACTGTTAGTCTTGAAGAATTCTATAATGCGGCAGTGATTACCTTGGTTCACATTAAATTTGGAAGAAAAAAGAATGACAGCTATATTTCGAATCGGTCTATATGAGGGTTAGTTTTTGGTGAGGGAGAAAAGCCGAAAACTTGAGCAAAAGAACAGGAGCAGCGGCGACCATCCCTGCCCATTGAATGGAATCGGACAAGACTACATTTTGAGAAATATAAGGTCTTTTTTATTTGTTTAGTTTGCGATATTTTGCGACGTTTTGAATCCGAACTGGCCCAATAAACATTATATAAGAAAATTCCATACCGCTTTCCAGGACGATTTGGTTATTTTTGAAAGTTTCTATACATCAGCGCGCAGCAGCATGTCTTTGTAGTCTCATCACAGTATCCGAGATCTCAGATGTATAAACACAACGTAGAGTAAAAATAACTGCACGGCTAGATCCCGCTTTCCCGATCAGCCCCGCTACCATATATATACGGCCTCGTAGTCACATTTGAACCATATTAGATGGCGGGTAAATTTTTTGACAATTTGTTCAACGTATTAAAAGGATAAAATTACCTGCAGGTGGTGATGGGTCATCGTGTTTCTCAGGTCTTTGTGGACAACTTGTTCCTAATAATAAAGACACTCTATTAATCTATTACAGCATAATAATTATCTTTATTTATAGATTTGGAATACAGTCTTGAGTTGCACCTAAGGAATAGGAGACATTGGTTATTTAGTGTGCTATACTTAAAGATGAGGTCAAGTCTGTTCTGCGCATGTGCTATGTGACGGCCCTCTGATGTAAGCAATCAGCTGTCGCCTCGTGTTTTATATCTGGTAAAACACCTTAAACACGGACTGCGGGTGTTTCAAATGGTTTAAAAAACGACCCAACTTATAAGTTCATTGACGAAGTAATTTTAAAAATCAACATTGTCTAAGCCGAAAAAATCAAAGCTAAAGTTTATGGAAATTAATCGGATCATGTTTCCTTTCCTATTCCACGAGGGCTGCAGTGCACATCAATTCCTTGTCAGCATGCATACTCACGCAACAAAATTATTACAAGGAAAAGAAATACGCGTCCCTATAAACACTAAGCAGAGACAAAACAAGAACAAGGATATAAAACACAAACCTAGATATTTCTTGAGCGATGGTTTTAACAGCCCAAACTTTGGAGGTTTCTGTGGCGGGTCACCAAGCGCAAATGCTGGAGGTAACGGCTTTAATTCTGGTGTCCGTGCGTCTTTGTTACTGTCAACGATCTTGGGGCTACAGGGGAGAGATTAGTGTATTATTATATTTTACAGAACTGGGCTCGGTTGTACGAAGACCGGATAGGGCTATCCACTGGATGGTGATTTTTCAACCGTTGTGAAATTGCTTGAAAAGTTATAAAACTACGAATATATGGACTCACAATTAATAAAACGAAGCTTTAATTTATAAATACTAAAGTTTAACCCAGGTTTTACCAATCAACGAAACATTTTTAGAAAGGTTGAAAAAATCACAATCCGGTGGATATAGCGTTATCCTGCTTTCGTACGACCAAATCTTGGTTTCTTACCAAGAAATAATTTCAAGTTATTTTCCATCCGTCAAAGTTAAGAAATGTGAAGCAAATATACGCAGAACATAGAAAGTTAATCAACATTGTCAGGTTTGACAATGGTTTTGAAATAAATGCAAAATAATGAGCTGAAAGAAATGATAAAAGAAACCAAGAGCTAGTACTACAGTGCTGTGCTCTGGAGCATGAGGGAGAAAAGACAAAGTAGCATATTTACGGCTATGCATGGGCCTGAATTGCGCTACTTTATAACAAGGGTAATTTAAAAAGACATATTAAAATATCAATATCTTATAAGTTATAACGCATCTTATAACGTTGTCTAACTTTCTGCAACACGCCCGTTATAAAGGAGTTCGCAAACCGCTTCGTTTTCACTAGTGGTAAACAAGTGCTTCACATGCGCGTAGACATACAGTACTATTCTTGAGTAAATACCAAGGCTTGTGATTCTGAACAGACTAACAAACTCGCGCAGCGAATATAATTATATAAAGCAACGCAGAGAACAGCGGCTCCCCACGCGCTCTCTTCCTTTGCCCCCCCTCCCCCCCGCCGCGCGATTTCTTTCATTCGTGTGTGCCACATGATATCTGATTCTCCCACAGTCTCTCAAATTTGCTTCGAAAAATTAAGACCATGCATGTAGTCTGCAAGGCAGGCACTTGCTAGTCCGAACAATACGACGCAAGTGCACGCTTTTCTTTTTATAAAAAAAAAACAAAGAAACGACTGGGAACGAGCATCGTATCGACAATATCATGAATATTTGTCGAGTCGACAACGCAGTCGTGTTGATTCAGCACTATTGGACATGTATGAAAAACGTCTGGGGTAAAAAGACTCATAACTCCCGCCGAAACGTCGAAGTTCTGCTTGTATTTTTCAGGTAGTTGTATCTGCCGCAATCCGCAGTTATCTTGTTAAGGTCTCAACCCAAACTGCAGGCACAGACCCTTCATAAAAATACGACACACTAGCCAACTACTAGGCTATTTCTACGTCGTGTAGAATTGTTTACAAAAGTCATTACGAAATTTGCATTTCTTTCTCCCTTGAGTATATAAACTTTTTCTCAAGTTACACTGACAACATTGAGAATGATAACATGTCTGACTTGTAAAGATAACTCGTACCTTAATAGTAAGATCATGTGTAATTGTTCAACGATATTATGTTGTATTGTATTCATCTCAATCCTTGTTACTTTGGACAGGATTGCATGAATTCTGTTCCTGAGTTTGGGAAATTGCAACTCCTACGTCTCATGCTGACCTCAGCTGCATTATGATTGGTTAAAAAGATACGGCAAAACAAATACAGTAAGCAATATCACAAAACTACTTGTATATAATCACAGTATCAAAAAAATTGTTACAGTTCAGGAGGGTTGTTTTTAAAAACCACTGCAAATTCATATGGTGCAAAGGTGTTTTATGAATATCAAAGTACCAGACAATTTGATGTAAATGAAATAATTTGATGTACAACGTGAGACCTCTGAAACCAATTGGACTTTCTGCTGTGACATTGTTGCCTTTCTCGCATAATTTTAAACTTTGTCTTTGCACTGGACATATCTTGTGAAGCATGCGTTCAGTATTTTTAACTGATTGCATTGTAAATACTTAAGTATTAAAAATGTATCATCAATCAACAACATTGTTAAAACAAGATCATTACATGAATTTTTTTCTGCGTTGGTGTAATGTACTCAGGTGAATATGATGCTTGTGATGTTACTCTGAGTGTATATCCACACCGGGCAAGCTTGAAAAATATGTCTGGCCACGGTAGGAATCGAACCTACGACCTTTGGAATACTAGCCCAAAGATACAGTTCTTGTTTTGCCTTCGTAGGTTCGATTCCAACCGTGACCAGGTATATTTTTCAAGCTTGCCTGGTGTGGATATACGCTCAGAGTAACATTACAAGCATCACTGCATCAAGATCATTACATGCATGATAACATTATACTACATGATCACAACATTATTACAACATAATCCCAACACTGTTACAACGTAATAACAATATTATTACAACATAATCACAACATTGTTACAACAAAATCACAACATTGATACAACAACATCATATATCTACTTGAAAATTATAATTTACCCCACAAACAGCTTATTAATAACAGCTTGGGTTTATGCATTGTAAAGATCTACAACTATATACGAAATTGATATTGAGCTCTAGACAAACATTGGAACATACTGGTCACCTGTTATAAAAAATTGGCCCCCTTTTAGACAAGTCAAAACTGCATTAGCATTACGGGGTTTTTGTTGCGCATTACTTACCGGCCATTACAATTTCATGATATTATACTTACTTTGGTTTATTGATTACACTTGGTGGTCTTGCACGTGTTGTTCCTGTGTTTTGATTACTATTAGCATTCACTGGTGGTTTAATTGGGACAGTTGGTTTTGCACTAGTGACAGGTTTCTTACTAGCCACAGCTGGTTTGCCGGGGACAGGAGGTTTTCCAGGAGAACCATTTTGAAACATTTTTGAACGATCTTTTATAGATGGAGTTCTTGTTTTGCCTTCACTATTATTATTTGCATTATCTTCACTTTGAGTGCTCTCTGCATGTTCATCTTTGGTAGGTTCAGCTACTGGTTTTGTTGATTTTAATTTTACTTTAAAGAGTTCTCCTTCTTGGGGTTTTTCATCCCCTTTACTAGCAACAGGAGCTTTCGGAGGAGGCGCTCGACGTAAAGTTGTGAGTTTTTGTTGTAACTCGTTTGTACAAAGTTCCATGTTTATCTTCACACAACACAAGTTTTATATATAAATCTGTTTTACTTAAATTTCAAAATCATCAGTCCAATGTTTGATAACCAAGCACCTTTAAAACATATGTAAAACTAATGAATCAGCTCAAAAATCACAAAAATTAATAAGTGCATGGGCATAAGTGGGGATGTACTAACAGGACTCAAGATTTGAATTTCTTATTAGTATCCAAGTGGATACTAGCACCTTAAAAACTGGTATCCTTCTTTGAAATTTAGTATCCCAGATTTGCATAGTAGGTATTCTGATTATAGCAGTATCCAAACAAGGTAAATGGCCTGCTGTATGTTTCAGCTGTGTAGTGTTTGTCATGACCAACTTTTATTAGAAAAACCAAAGGACAAACCTATAGTTGCTGGGCCAAAACCTCAGACTCAGTGACTAAAGAACCAAACAGTGCTGTAAGTAACTTCGTTACAAGTAACAAAATTACAAGTAATCGTTACTTTTTGAGTAACTGTAGCCTGTGTAGCAGTCGCTTTATTTTATTGAAGGTTTTGAGGATTTTAGAATAAATGGCGGGCATTTATTGAAAAATCCTCAAAACCTTCAATAAAATAAAGCGACTGCTGCGTACAGGGCCTTTTTTAACCTTCCCCCCCCCCCCCAGGAAAAGTCCCTTTTTCCTAAAATTATACAAACAATCCAGCGAAGATTAACAAATAGATAAACGGAAAGTAAGTTTTAGGCTTTATCCTTTGTTCTTGTTTAACAAAATCGATTTAAATTGTTACTTTTTTACCACTAAGCCATGATACATTATTGTTAATATTTTTTTTTATTTTTTGGATGCTCAGAATGCAGGAAATAGCATTTCACGGTTTCAAATTTCAAAAATTTTCTTGGGATTATCCCTCTAATAAGTAATGATAAATTACAGTTAATATTCTTTTTTACTTTTTGTGCATTTTTCCATCTTTTATATCAAATACAACTATAGTTAGCATAAATTTTAGAGCAAATTTGGATGCTCAGAATGCAGGAAATGGCATTTCCGTGGTTCAAATTTCAAATATTTTCTGGGGGAGTACACCCCCACACACCTGACCATTGCTATCCTCCTCGAATAAGTAATGATAAATGATGGTTAATTTTTTTTTACTTTTTGTGCGTTTCTTCCTTTATTTATTTCAAATACAAGTACAGTTAGGATAAATTTTGGAGCAAATTTGGATGCTCAGAATGCATGAAATGACATTTCCGGGAGTCAAATTTCAAAAATTTTCTGGGGGAGTACACCCCCAGACACCCCATTCATGCGTGGTATATTTTCCACACACGTGGCTTTCAGCCATTGCTATCCCCCTCTAATATATTATCTCACAGAAAGGTCCCTTTTCAAAAAATGTCCCCCCCCACGGGAAAATCCTTAAAAAAGGCCCTGGCTGCGTAGGCTAGAGTAACTGTAACTGTAACGAGTTACATTTTGGCCTAAATTGAAACGATAACGCGTTACTTTTATAGCCAACGTTTACGTTACTTTTTTCGTTACATTCTTGCGGTTAAAACTTACAATTCACCTCTCAGTTCTCGAAATTCTCCTCACGGTTTTCTACGACAACGCATGCTTCAGTGCTTAACACAGCTGAGAAATCCGTTAGTGGTAAGGTTACATAACGTTTACAAATAATTAACGTCAATCTGATGACCACTAATCATTAAGTTGAAAAAAACTGGGGTTTTTCTTACTTGTAACTAGTTACTAACTTGTAACTAGTTATAAAAATATTGAAGTAATTTTGTAACGGCAACTAGTTACATTTTCTTAAGTGTAACTTTTACCAGTAACTACTGTAGTTCCTTTTTTGGGAATGTAACTGTAACTAGTTCCAAATAATGAGTAACTTTTACAGCACTGGAACCAAAGTGCCAAAACAAGCTATGTTGCCAAACATTTTGCCACAATGTACATCCATTGGGGAGGGTGACTCATGAAAAAAAAATTCTGGGCTAACATAAGTATAGCTTCAATTTTTTTTCCAGACTAAGATTAGCCTGAAATTACCAAATCTTATCAATTTGTTAAATTGGGAATCATTTCATAACTTTCACCAAATTTTATCAACTTTTATATCCCACTTTGACCAAATTTTACCAACTTTGTTCTCAAACTATTGCCAAGTTTGACCTGCAACTTTTACCTTCCTTTTTGAATTATTGGGGAGGGGGGTGTTACCCCCACCCCCGGTAGCGACGTCCTTGAATATCCACATTGAAATCTGTTTGTTAGTGGATATCGAGATACGGAAATCATCAGACCTGGCTAATCATCTTTACTTCCAACTGAGAGCTAATTAGCTAAATTTTGAAGGATGTAGCTCAACCTGTGAACCTGATCGAGTTGACAGCTTTATAATTTAGGCTCTGCATCAACTCCAGGTAGCCACCTACTGACTTATGTCTCACCACATAGTACAACTATGGCAGAAGGGTCAGGTTGGGGCCTGGGGGCATTCAACCCACCACAGGCATACATATGAGACAGGTGTTTAGTTGGTGTCTACTTAAAGGTTGGTTTTCATTAGTCAATGTCGATTGTGTTTAACTGATGGTTATTCATTGCCGACAGTTGCAAGAAATAAAAAAATTGTCTAATTGTTGTGAGAGTTGATGGTAGTCCCAGACACTCTGCAATAATAAAACAAATGAAAACACTATATTCACAAGTTGTTAGCAACAGTTACGAAAACCAGTTTTAAAGAATTTGGCATATTTGCTGTTAATAGTCTTGCTTGCCTCAGTAGAATGTATTTTGTCATGATAATATTTAGATGCTTACTATTTCATAATTTATATTATTTATTTAAAAAATTCCTGGTTTATGATTGGCTAACAACCAACTATGTCATATCAACTCAATGGCTAACCAAATATGGATTTTTCACATTCATATTAGCAAAATGATGTCAAAGAGTCAATATGAAAAAAATTTGGACGTGTTTGCGCCATATTACTATGACAACGAGAATCATATTGACTCGCTGATGCCATTGATATGACGCGACAACGGCTGCCGAAGGACTAAGGAATTGTTTTTTTCTTAATACAAATAAAATACAAATGTTTGTTTTGAAATTTTTAAATAAATAATAAAACAATTATTGAATTCGGTTTTTGCACAATATGAAGAATTATCAAGCCCTCAGTTTGCCTTTATCAACCTCAGCCTTCGGCTTCGGTTGATAACGGCAGACTTCGGGCTTGATAATTCTTCATACCGTGCTCAACCTCATTCAATAATTGTTAAATATTACTATTATAATAATTAATAACAGTAATAACAAATGCAGTGTTTTCCACAATCAATGGTCACTAGCATACATGTGGAGAAATACAGCTGTTAATTGTTACCATAAAATTATTGAGCAGGTTGAGAAGGTTACAAATTTGAGAGGGCACTAAAATTTGAGGGTGGCCTTGAGGCATGCTCTCTCTCAGGTTCCAGTTTCTGTATGCCCATTATCAAGTTCAGGCTCTGAAGACAGGTGCTCCCACATTTACCTGATCAGTTTTTGTTGTCTTAAAGGTGTCACATCATTCAGAGGCAGGGGGGGGGGACTGACTCTCAATCAAACAAGTCTGACCCTTCACAGCTAAAATCAGGTAGCATTAAAATGTGCAAATGTGAGAGTGCCATCACTCTCAAGCACAATTTAAATATGGCATGCACATTTTAATATTCGAAAGTGGAGGGGCATTTCGAAAGTGGAGGGACATTGGCCAAAAATGGCACTTTTGTATATGACCAAAATCAAACAATTTTATGTTGTTCACAAACCAAACAAAAATTTTTAAAAATATGGAGAATATATAAGTAATTAACATATAAAATATAACGTCAGAAATGGCCTTCACAGAGTCTTTACTAGCAAACAAGGGCGTTCATTCAAGATATACTTTTTTCGTTCTTTGAATGGGAAACTTTAGTGCAGAGCGAAGGGAACCTTTTTCATATTTATAAAAGGGGGGGGGGCACATACCCCAAATGTCCCACCTGGTTATACGGCCCCTGGAAATACATAACAGAGCCATTTATTTTTAATTGTTTTCAGTGAATTTTGTATGAATCATGTAGACTTTATTAATTACATCATAGAATACATTGCAGGGCAATAATTGTGACATTTTGAAAGAGTTTCAGAACAAGTAAATTGTTGTAAATCAGTTAAATTGACACTTAACTATCAGGTTTTAATAGTATCCAACAAGGTGTGATGGTATCCACTCAGCCCAAGGTTCATTTTACCATCTGTAATTTTACTTTTCTATTCGCTTTCACATCATCCGAGTATTTGTACATAACGACATCTAACTTTTATTAAGTCAAAATACGTTGGAAGTGATATTAATTTGAATTATTATACATTTAAACAATAGAAAGAAGCAGATCATAGTCAGCCTCCAGCGACAACGCCAATACTTAATATACCGGTACTTTCCGTTTTATCTCGTGTGCCTTAAAATCTCAGCTATGTCATAATCATAGCTTCTGCCCAGTATATTCAAATACCATGGAAGATACACAGAGATCTTGTCTTGTTCAAATTATACAAATATATATCATGTATAAAGACAACACGGAAGTGATACATGTCTGAATAATGCAGCTTACAAATATTTTGGAAATTTGGAATGACTATTTACTTACCAAAAGGTTTAACGTCCTATATCCTATCAAGAAACCATCTTTATAAGTTCAACATACTGAAAATTTCAATCTTTCAGACACAGAAAGCAAGAAAAATTATGAAGTGAAAGAGTTGAAACGAACTTTGTATATTATACCTCACGAAACTTCCGGCTTTGCGGAACTAGTAATCTTTCTTGCTAATTAGAATTATTCCTTATTTTAATAATGAAACTAGTTAACTGGGGTGGGGGGGGGGGGGCAACCTCGTTCCCAGGCTGGAGGGGGGCTTGTAGCGCTTGTTTGGTAAACCCAATATTTCCTTGCTAAAACTTGTAATTCCGTGCTTGTATAGGCTGTATACAATTCTGTGGAAACTGTTTAATTTCCAGAGCGAAATACTGGACTAATGTGTCAATTAAAGAAAGGAAATGGCCGCCTCCCAAAAACTAGCCTCCAAAAACGTGTCACACTTTTGAAAACGAAACAACAACCTTGCGTTTCAGAGAAACGATTCAAACTAACTTCCAAGCAGTCTTAGAGCTGCCGCTACTTTTTCTCTCTGATAGTTTGATATATAATTACCTAAAATATAGTCAAACATTCAGATTTTTGCATTTAGACTTTCTGTATAATCATGGAAACGAATCAAGAATAAAAGACAAGAATAGTGCATTCAGTATTGATGATGTTGATGTTTGATATTAGACTTTGGGGACCGTTCATTTTTTATCAGGAGGGGGGGGGGGTGGTGGTTTTGCATGCTTGCATTGATAATTTCGTCATGACCCCCCAGCAGATGCAGGAAAATTTTCAGTGGCCCCCTTTCTACTCCACGTTTTCTTCCCATGACCCCCCTCCCCCACATACATAGGTTCCTAATGTTACTTTTGCAACGTTTTAGGCTAAATAAATACAATAATGCCTACAATTATTTTAGCAATTATTTTAGTAATTGTAACTGCCCGAAATGTTGCAAAAATAATATTAGAGACCATGGCATTTAATAGGAATTTTACATAGATATTAGTCATTTTGATTTTTTTATTCAGTGTCTTGACTCAACACGGGTGTGATAGGAACTTGAGAAAATAACTGTTGCAACTTGTACGTTTTGATTACAATTTCGGAGTTTCCAGTGAACTCAATTTATTTTACTTTATCTAGAATGATAACACCCAGTCATTTGGCAGTTAAAATGTGAAGCCTCGTGCACAGAGTAACATACAGAGGCTTATCTCAGTGAGAAAACCGTAAAGAAGGTGTTTTTTTTTGCCGCCATGTTCGTAGCCAGTATCGGCACATGCGCAGTATATACGTATGATGCGCCAGTTAGGCAGTCCAGTACAGCTTCTCTTTACTGGACTGCCTAAGAACATGGCGCATTTTTCAAAAAAATCCCTCACGCTAAATTAACCTGAAGTGAGACCTCTGTATGTACTAACTCTGTGCCTGGCGTGAGCAGTGGCATCAGACCTCTCCATGTCTTTTATCTGGAACGATAACATGCAGGGAGAGAAACATGAAGCCAATGCCATGCAACACCACTTGGTGCACGCTGATTTGTAATAGACCGCGCGGTGATGGCATATAAGGGGACTGAAACTGACATACTATATGGTTTGCAGAAACGAGAAATAGGCGTACTAAGAGGCTTAGGGACTAGGCTGTGATAGGCTTTGGTGCTCTCGTCACTATGATCAAGGACGACGTACTTTGCGAAGACCAGGCCTGTGTGTACCGAGCGGGGTTGGAGGGCACGACATCCTTACAATTTCAGAACTGCTCGTCGGTAAAACCATAGTGGTAGAACGAAGTCATGTAGTAACAACGTACAGTTGTGATTGGAAATGGCCGGTAAATTGATCGGAAAAATTGATAGGGGGCCCAGTAAATTTGAATTTGAGCAAATTATAAATTATCATTTAATGTAAGTTAAATTATTTTATTTAGACCGGCAGTGGCGTGCTGGGTACTATTTTTCTGGGGGCAGTCGGCTGACAACCAATATATGCTGCCCTATAATATTACGCTTGATAAACGAAGGACGAAGGCACGAGCCGAACGCCGCAGGTGCGAGGTTTGTCTAGGGGAGTCCGGGGGCATGCCCCCCAGGAAAATTTTTGAATTTAGCGTCTCTGAAATGCCATTTCCTGGACTTTGGGGGAAGATTTGACAGAAATCTGATGGCCAGGAAACGGCATTACAACGCGGTCGAAATTTGCAAATTAGTTAGAATTTAGTAGCAGTACTTAAATTGGGCAATGCTAACTACTTCCAGCAATTAATCTAATCCCAATTCTATTCTCTACTGATCTGAATACATTGACAACTTACAGCTCTTTTATACAATAACACACGGACCCCACGCATATGCATTTTAAGGTTTCCTTGCCTGGCTGCCAAAAGGCCGCGTTTCAGCATTATATCTCATTACTTACATTACTCATGATGTTTCTAGCGCAAACAACTAAATTGCGTACACAACTTTACATTATCATAACTTCAACTATCTAATTTGCGTCGCTCTAGATCTCGTGATTCGTGAAGCATAATAAAGGGCATAATATAAGGGTATAATACCAGCAAAAAAGGGATAATTCCCGTGATCGCTTCGAAGCCTGATCAATATTCCGGTAATGAGACATTGCGTGTGATCACTGATCATGTTTATATATGAACGAGTGATTTCGTGTGAGTCGTGAGGTAGCAAATACGGTTGAACAAAATAGTCTGCAATTTAATCTGTTTATAAGTCTATAAACACATCTTTCCTTGGCGGAATTAGTAACTATATTTTTTCGAATGCGTTTCTTCCCACCCACTTTCAAAATTCGGCGCGGGATCGGCGCCCCTTTTCATTTTTGCGCCCCCCAAAAATTGCCAGCTGGGGGGCCGTGGCCCCCCCCTGCCAGCACGCCACTGTAGACCGGCGTGCCAACAAACTCCTTGGATTTATAAAGCGATGTTCTGGGGAAATAAGCGATGCGAGGACCCGCCGAACTCTGTATCTGTCTTTGGTTCAGTCGCGGTTTTGGTTACTCAAGCCAGGTTTGGTCGCCTCAAACCGTTACCCTCATCCAACGTATGGAGCGGGTCCAAAGAAGGCCAACGAAGTACATTTTAAACTGACCTTCCGTACTTGTGCAGTGAGACTTATCGGGAACGACTTGCCAGTTTGGGCCTCTTACCGCTATCTTACTGGCATGAATACTTGGATCTCGTGTTCTTTTTCAAAGCAGTGAACGGCTTGGTCGACGTGTCCCATGACGTCCTCCCCGAAGTCATGTCCCAAACCAGAACGACCAGATCCTCCAGTGGCAACTAAATCTCCTTCCGTCCGGCCAAATGCAAAACCTCTACCTACCAACGCTCCTTCTTTATTCGTGCATCCAGAACCTGGAACTCTTTACCAACTACACTAAGATCTCCTGACATTAATATTAGGCAATTCAAAACGGAGTTACAAACTTACTACCTGACAGCTCTGAGAGAATGCTTCGACGAAGAAGATCCGAGGACATGGAAGACTATATGTCTGAAGTGTAACACTAGTCGTTACTTACGTTCTGAACTAACTTGTTGTTTTTAGTCTCCTGTCCATGTACTGTATGTTATATGTTCTGTACTGTATGTGTATTTTTGTATAAGGGCCCACAGTAATTGGTTTACACCAGTGAACTAAAAATACCTGGAACGCTACCTATGGGTCTTCTATATTAACTATGCTATGACGAGCCAGACAGCTCCAGATTGGCAGCTCCAGATTGGCGAATCTGGAGCCAGCTCCAGATACAATTTCAATATGGAGCTGGAACGACTAGTTTGTAAACAAACTGCTTTGGCCGCGTAACTACCGATGGATATTTAATTTTTTTGAAAGACCATTTTTCCTTGTCATATTCCTTAGTACGTGATGGAAAATGAAAACATTATTCCGTTCCGTTCGTCCATGGTAGCTTCTGAAAGATCACTGTTTTTTCTGACAAAGGGAATGGTCAGCGGTCCGATAGATCGCAAAGCTCGTTTAAAACCTTATTTTGTTACCTTTATAATGAAAAACTTAAAAATTTGATCGATGACCATTCTGGAGAATGTATTCAAAAGTAATTTCATGCGGTCAACTTATTTCCACGTCACGAAACCGCGATAAATAACTCGCGCAAAGTTGACTGTCTAATTTCGCGCACGGCCCGGCTGTTTTAAATTTATCCTTCCGTAAATACAACAACTTTGGTATCCGTAAATTTACGCTTTAGATGAGCAAGAAATTGATATGTTGATGACATATTATCATTTGTTGCGCTTTTCTGAAGAACTAACGATATAAACATGTTTAATATCCGAAACACACAACGCAAACGAGATCGCTAAAAACGGTGTTATTATGCGGCTCAAGTCGTCAAAAGGCCATAACATGTCAAATACGTCTAGCATCGTCTAAATTGCTTCGCAAATTTCTTGCTAATTTCGCCCTGCCACGAATTTGTAAAAGATGACCCTTCTAGAGTAATATTCATACTATCATATTGTTCAGCATTTGAAACTTTAGGATGCATATCCACCATGAGCAATTCGTGAAAACACCAGCATTCGCTACCGAGATGAGAAATCAACTTTCAAGAGATGTGAAATATTACACCTAAACAATATTCCGTGTTATTTGGCACGTGCAAGACATTTATTAGTGAGCTTAAGCAAGTGACGTTTTTGACAACACGGACGTCGACCGGAAGAATCTTCATTTTTTTTTTATACACCTATAGTTATTAATACGGTTTTCCTCTGAGATTATCAAATGTCCGGCACGTGCCAGTGATGACGTGTTTTATTGTTTACGTTTAATATTTCACATCTCTTGAAAGTTGATTTCTCATGGCCTTTCGACGACTTGAGCCGCATAATAATACCATTTTTAGCGATCTCGTTTGCGTCGTGTGTTTCGGAAATTAAACTTGTTTATATCGTTAGTTCTTCAGAAAAGCGCAACAAATGATATTATGTCATCAACATATCAATTTCTTACTTGTATTCACGGAAGGTAAAATTAACACAGCCGGGCCGTGCGCGAAATTAGACAGTTCAACTTTGCGTGAGTTATTTATCGCGGTTTTGCGATGTGGGAATAAGTTGACTGCATGAATTTACTTTTGAATGCATTCTCCAGAATGATCATCGATCAAATTTTTAAGTTTTTCATTATAAAGGTAACAAAATAAGGTTTTAAACGAGCTTTGCGATCTATCCCACCGCTGACCAGCCCCTTTGTCAGAAAAAACAGTGATCTTTCAGAAGCTACCATGGACGAACGGAACGGAATAATGACTTCATTTTCCATCACATACTAAGAAATATGTCAAGTAAAAATGGTCTTTCAAAAAAATTGAATATCCATCGGTAGTTCAGCGTCCAAAGCAGTTTGTTTACAAACTAGTCGTTCCAGCTCCAGATTGAAATTGTATCTGGAGCTGGCTCCAGATTCGCCAATCTGGAGCTGCCAATATGGAGCTGTCTGGCTCCTCATAACGCTACCTCCAACTAGCCTGCGGTGCAGACGCTTCGTATTTCATAATGAAAGGGCTTAAACCCTTTCATTATGAAATACGAAGCGTCTGCACCGCAGGCTACCTCCAATAGGCTTGGCTTATGATCGGATGAAGCCAAATTTTACCTCCAGCCGCGCGTGTTCTACCTCCAGACACGCGCGTTTGTGTTGCGAGACATTCTCGCGAGACCATTTCGGCAGTGACTTGAATGTTTTTTCTTCAAAGTGACTATATGACCGGCAGCCGGTCACGGTTTATCATATACTAAATGGCCGGCAGTCTAGTGACTATAGTTGAATATAAAAACTTTTGTTTGCGTTAACTTTCACCGATTTGCCATTAGCTCATACGGCAAGGGCGCTGCGTGCGAAAAGTTAAACGCAGTCGGGGTCCGGATGTGTTTTGTTTGACTTAGCATTGTTTTTTCTTAGCCATTTAGTATTTGATAAACCGTGACCGGCTGCCGGTCATATAGTCACTTCGTTTTTTCTTGGGCGAATGGGTCGAAAATTGTCGTTTATTTAGGGTTTTAAGCTATATTTTTGTATTAGACGTGCATTTAAAACATATCTTGAACCCTACCGACTAAAATTGCAAGGACGAAAGTAACCGATTGGAGACAACAAGTGCATATTTGAGTGACTGGAACGTTTATATGCAGATGACACTTGAGAAAGATAAGTAATTCTTTATCTTATAAACGTATTAAATATGTATTTATAACAACTTCATTGATTGTTAAACAAGACAAGTTTATTTAGTCTGTATCTATCACTTTGTTTGCCTTCGTTGACCACTTTTTCTTTGTATTTCTTGCCGAATGTGAATAATCGTACTTATTCGCGAAAAAAAACTTTAATGTTTATATTTGTTATTTTGTACTTTTAAAACTTAATAAATACTCTACTACAAAACATAATTAAACTGTGGATGGTAGTTTGAACTTGTTAGAATACCTTTTTCCTCACACAAATATTTCACACTTTATATGATTAGACCACGGCAAGCTCCACTCCTCGCTCGACGTTTTTTCTCAAAAATGAAAATTTAATTACGATTTCTACACAAACAAATTAAAAATATTTTACTCTAGAGTTTTGAAGGATTTTTTTATTGTAAAATTGTACTGTCAGGTGCATTTTAAGTCGTTTTAAACGATGTTTTAGTGCATTTTTTTTACCCAGTTGTGAAAATTTAAAAAACCCGCGTTTTCCCGTTACGTGAAAAGACTTGGGCATGACAACAGTGGGCATGCCTGGGCATGGCTCGCTATTTCGCAACGGGGGCAGCTGCCCCTCCTGCCTCCCAGTTCCGGCGTCCCTAGATCTGAATTCGAAGGTCTCTGAAGTCTGAACGCAGTATGACAATAGACGATTCCCCTTATTACGTTTTCTTAGTTTACGTTAGGAGAATTAATCTAAAGAGTATAAGGAAAATATTAAAAAAAATTGCACTATGAAGAAAGGTAACGTTTCAAAAGGAGATCGTAACAAAGTCTTGGACAAAACTTTTCATGTTTTAGTTGGTAAATGTTATGGAGCAGCAGGTGAAGACTAAATTCAGAACCAGTGAGCTCTATATATATATATATATATATATATATATATATATATATATAGAATTTCAGTCATTCGGCGTATACCATATGAGAACAGCGAAGCCAAGATGACGGAAATTGACGTCCAATACTTCGTAGCTAATTCCGTTTTTTTTTCTAAACAACCGTATCGCTAATGAAGTTATCAGTTCATAAAACCATAATTATATTATTTAAATCGAAGTCAAAAGACGAAATTTCGCCACACTCCTTGCAGTCCTAAAAAAGTCTTGCATCATATTAAAGCAAATTGTTTGAAATTTTGTACAGTAACATAAGCCCCGTTTACACTACGCTCAATTTTTGGTACGGCACGGATAAAATTACCTAAATAGGTAGTCCAAGAACCAAAAAAGACGGGTACCAATTTTATCCGTGCCGTACCAAAAATTGAGCGTAGTGTAAACGGGGCTATATACTCACTATAATTTATCAGTGAGTTCCGTACAACATCGGACCAGTTTTTGTTAGCCTATATTCAAGAACACATACTTCTTCTGTATGATTTGGCCATGCTAATTATAACTCAGTAGTGGTCTCTGGACAATATCAAATCATGAAATCTGCTGTGTTGGTGTAATGTACTCAGGTGAATAAGATGTTTGTGTGATGTTACTGATATACGGATTAAAGTTGACGTTTTTCACCAATCACAGCCCTTGACCCAGTCTTCTGACGTTACTCATGCCGTCCGTGTTGTCAAAAACGTCACTTGCT